AATAAACGAGAAACGAGAAACACTTATGAACCACATCAACAAACGACAACCACTGAACATCAGGTTACTGACTTAGGACAGGTGCAAGTAGGTATAATGCTTCACCCCAAATAATATAGATCGTTAAATATCTAAAAAACAAAAGTGCAGATCCCCTAACTAAGACATTTTCCGTTCACAATACGTTTTTTTCCCAGGGTTCAGTCCCCGCCCATCTCATATCATGAATTGTTTTATATCTTGAGCTTGGTCATATTTCCCTCCCTAAAAGATATATATATTCTTCGTTGCATCGATAAGACCATTTTATTTCATCATATACAAGACTTGTACAATACAGCATAATTTTGTTCTATGTGGTCATGCTCCGTCACGTCGACTGATGAATATATCAGATGTACACTGTTCCAATCCCTACCCCCTTAACTATACACATTCTTATCTGCTTTGATAAGACCTTTCCAGCGCTGGTTTATTCTCATCTTCCTATATATAAAGTTGGTATACATACCGGAAACAGTTTAGATACGCAGTCGCTTGTGATATATATATTTATTGACCATTACAATACCTTTCCAGTACTAGTATGTGTTGGATGTGTCGTTCTTTTACTTGAACGACTTCTTTATATGCTATTTATATAATATTCCATAAAATATAGTTCCATCTAGTTTTATCATACATATATATATATATATATATATTAAATGGAGATAGATCCAGAGTTTAAAATGATTTTTGTTGTTAAACGAAAAAAAAACAGACACACGTACAACGTACTATAAAGATGGTGGTTTTTAACGACCTTGACTACCCATGAGAATTATGCACGGTCGGTCAAATACCGTACACATTAAGTCTTATCCCATTTTATAGTCTGCATACATCATGTGATCTGATGGTTGGCAAATGCTCTATGGAAGAAGTCGTTTCTTGAAAATCGGAAAGCAACAGCCGAATTTGAAATGTTTAAAACACTTTCATACAAAAGAAATGTATTTGTGTGTTCAATCGTTTACAGGGTTGCGTTTGTGGTATCGTTTACGACCTGATTAAACACTTTCATAATGACATTCATGCCATTTTATCAAGTAAAATACCTGTAGTGTTCCGTAAGAGAGAACACCACATACCACCCAATTAAAGTATCATACATCCTCATTTCGTGTCTCTTGCTTCTTCGTCAAAAATGCCACCGTCAATTGAATCGAAAAGCAATCGCTCTGAATATATACCGATTGTAAGTTTAACTAATTTATTATTGAGCATTCTTATATTGTCTGAATACAAATGGATACAAAATAAACATAATTATCGCTATTTTACGAAATTTTCCTTTGATCTTACTGACTGATAATTTCCTTTATACTGCAACTAGTTGTGTTTATTTCCAAAATATAGTTACACAGCTATATTTTGTGCAATGTCAATTTCATCATGGAACACTTTTTCCACAATCAGGGGTTCATTAAGGGATGAAAATACCGGTAAGTTTGAAATTTGTGTTACAATTTAAATAGCTATCAATGTATTAGTTTAAGTTGCAGTATAAAAACAATATTAGGTCAATGTCATAAAAATATAAACTTTTTTGTATTCGACGGCACAAAACTGGGGAAGGGCTCGGTCAAACCTCGCCCTTCCCCAGTTTCTCAGCCTCATACAAAAAAGTTTATATTTTTCTGACATTGACCTATTATTGTATATTTCTCAGCACAGTAGAGTGATATTTATAGATTATCGTTGGTCATCTCAACGAGATTGATTTTCTCGCTTGAGCCGGTACGGCGAAAGTGAGAAAAGCAATCGAGTTGAGATGACCAATGATAATCTGTTTATCGCTATTTTACCTATGACAACGTTGTAAATTTCATTGACAACGGCACGTGCGCCCTTAGTTTCTATTGATAATTTTTCATATCACTCTACTGTGCTGAGAAAGAAAATTATCAGTCAGTAAGATCAAAGGAAAATTTCGTAAAATAGCGATAATTTCCTTTCTCAGCACAGTAGAGTGATTTGAAAAATTATCGCTAGAAACTAAGGGCGCACGTGCCCGTTGTCAATGAAATTAACAATATCGTCATCTATAAAGGTAAAATGCGATAAACAGATTATCATTGGTCATCTCAACTCGATTGCTTTTCTCACTTTCGCCGTACCGGCTCAAGCGAGAAAATCAATCTCGTTGAGATCATCAACGATAATCTATAATTATCAGTCAGTAAGATCAAAGGAAAATTTCGTGAAATAGCGATAAGAAAACTTATCGCTAGAAACTAAGGGTGCACGTGCCGTTGTCAATGAAATTAACAACGTCGTCATAGGTAAAATAGCGATAAACAGATTATCAATTGTCATCTCAACTCATTGCTTTTCTCACTTTCGCCGTACCGGCTCAGGCGAGAAAATCAATCTCAACGAAAATCTATAATTATGTGGTAAGAACATGTCGAGTTCTTGATATCAAATAACCCTAGATAATATTGTTTTGGGGGTTTTGAGTGATGGGATTTCTTTCTTTATGAAACCTTTGAGTTTGGAGTTGAGATCAACATTAATTCATTGATTACATTCCCATTGCCTTGTATTCAGAAAATAAACCAAATATTGTGCCGTCAGTCCGGCAGATTTGATCCGTTCTCATAGAACAAATGAGTGGTAGAAACTAAATTTGTATTGTCAATGTGCATAGTCAAAATTATTTATGTCTAGTCATCATTGAGTCTAAATCTCCATTCTATTTTGGTCTAGTTGTATACAATTAATTGATTTCGGGTAACACAAACTTTATTTACAAATTATACACGTGTATGTCTATGTTCCAGACCATATGAGTATTTGGACAGTACGCGTACGGTCTGGACCGTATGAGTACTTTTTCAAAATACGCATACGGTCGGACTTTACGCGTACGGTCTGCCTAATTTTAAGAAGTTGGTCTGGTTTATTAGATACACATGTATATTACAGATCAACATAACTGAAATCTCGAATTAATATAAAAAGTTCAATTGTAAATGAAATAAAAACTTAGTAGTTTAACTATTTAAAAAAGTCACGTTAATCTAATCTGTTAATCTCCTGTATTTAGCATGTCAGTAATACATGGAATTGTATTATGCTCATTGAATTTGAAGTTATTGGAAGTAAACATAATGTGAAGAGAAAAGATTTTATAATATTTAGGAACTTTACTACAAAAGCCGTCAAACCATTTGTTTACTTGTGGGAAGACTGATAAAATTAAAATCGTTTTGCTAAATGGGAAAAGTGATTCAGCGAGATTCCGACAATATGTTAAGGAAAAGACATTCGCATTGATTAATTGTCCTGAGTTTGGAATGGAACTGATTCGGAATGTTCATTTATTCATTTTATTCATCTAATTGTAATAATATTAATTTGTAAAACTCAGTTAAAGATTTTGATAAATGTTTGTCTAAAATTAATCCCTATAGTCCAAATACATGTATGGTACAGCTCGTACTAGACCGTACGAGTATACTCGCACGGTCCGACCGTACGCGTATGGTCGGACCGTACGAGTATACGCATACGGTCCGGACCGTACGCGTACGGTCCAAATACTCATATGGTCTGGAACATCTATTATGTCTCTGACATAACTACATAAGATAAAATGTAACTGTATTTAAGTGTCTTATACAAGTGCATTGGTAGGTGTATAGTGCTTTCCAATTCTATAAAGGTTCCCTGTTACAACAAGGGTTCGTGGGTGACTTTCAGAATGGTAATTTATAGCAAAAGTTGTCAGGTGTATGCAATATAAAAAACTTTTGTTAACTATAGAGAAGAATGACAGGTTTTTACATTTTTTTTTGCCACTTTTATGTTAACCAAAGTGATAGAAAGAAAAATAGAATTTATCTTTTAGACTTGCATTGATATATGTTGCTGACAACAGCAAAACAAGTTGATTTAGCACGATTGCATGAAGTTTGTTTACTGCAGTTCTACATTTTACCGAATATATCATCAAATAAAGATTCCTTAAAAAAAGTTTATAAAATATTTTTGTAGTACATGGGACCAATAAAAACACTTGAAATAATACAAAAATGTACACTTACATTCTAAAAGTAACTTGTCAATGTTTGGTATTTTAAGGCAAATTGAAAGTTAAAAATTAGTTATATCATTTTTCTACTCTTCTATAATTTAAACTGTTATAGGACACTCAAGACGCAAAATTGAAGGGTTGCATACGATAGTTTGCATTTTCATAACCTTTCTGTAAATTCTATTTTATTGTACATGATAGAGAATTTCTCATCTATAGGGATATTGTTTGATATTTAAATTTTAGAAGTTTTAGAAGGTTAACTGATTTTTGCATTTTCTGTTCAAAATAATTTTCAGTAATGATTTGATATAGACGAACATAGGATTGTCAAAGGATGGTGTAGTATTTTTTTTATCGATTTCAAATTTTATTTTAATCCACAGAAAGTCAATGGAAATGTACTTCATAAAACAAAAAATTTAGTAATTATTATTATCTTTTTACCAAGATGGTGTCCTGGTTCATTTTTCATTAATAAAAAGTATACAAGTACCTTATGTTGTTAATTTGTACCATTTCGCTAATGCCTTATATGCAAAACTTTATATTGACATCATAATCTACACAGTGTTACGACGGGGGACAGAGTTCCACATTCATTGTTATTGTTTGGCGTTATGAGGTCATTCTGTTAATGTTAGTTGTATTTTATTTTATTTTTTAATTCTTAATGTCACACGCCGTCGGGTTGCCTAGTTGAAATAAAAATTCATTTCAAGATATTTTGTTTTTTTAATAACCCTTCTACCTTGGTACGTACATGTGATTTGGCTTTGAGCTCTTATAAGTATCTTTGCTTTTAATTCTCTTATCCTTTACATAAACACATATAGTAAAGGATTTAAATTTTAGCGCAAATTTAGTCAAATTACCGTTGGAATATTTAAATCGTCTCCCTTTAATCAAACAGGAACTCCGACTGAAAACGAAAGTAGTCGGTTGCCATATAACAACAAACACAGAGTTCATAAAAACAAATTGATTAGGTAAGTTACATTAAAAATCAGGAATGTATTCAATTTGAACGGTTGAGTATGGAAAGCCGTAGCTACTTGATGTGACGATATGTTTATATATACACATACTTTTCAATATATGCACATACTTTTTCAAGATATATGCACATACTTTTTTTTTCAATATACATAGTTTACTTTATATGCACATATTATTTTATATATGTGCAGATACTTATTCTATATATGAACATATTTCTTCATGTGCATACTTAGTTTTTCAATATGAGAATAACCATTTACATGATACTTTACTGTTTTTACTGTTTCCCGGCATTGTGAGAGAGAGAGAGAGAGAGAGAGAGAGAGAGAGAGAGAGTTAATTACTGTCCTTATTCTATTTTTAATATCTGATAAATTGATCGTTGTAGCAAATTCGTCTAGCTTTTCCAATAACACGAACATGCCGATGACAAGAAATCAACGATGTCTAAAGATGCTGATCAATAAAAAAGGAAACGCATTAAAACAAAATAAATGTAGTAGATACAATATGCAAGGATCTTATTGATCAACTGAAAAGGAAATGTGGTATGATTGCAAATGAGACAACAATACACTAAATACCAAACATTTTCCAAATGCAGTGCCAAAATATATGTATCAACAGGATATAGGATCATATGTGTACATAATTGTACAGTGATACATTTATAGTTTTGTTTTTATTCATTAAAAACAAAATCGATGTAGAAGATATAAATACAATTTGAATGGATCTTGCTATAATGTTGAATTTACACGTTTCCTTTGATAGACGGAAGCATGAAAAAACTTTCTTTTAAAATTTTAAACAGCTAAACTTATTTTTCATAGTCGCATGCAAAATAATGAACAGTGTTAACCCTTACTAAATTCTTTCATATATGCAAATATTATATTTGGAAGTTTGATGGAACGTACATAAAGAACCCGTATTACAAACGGTATAGTCGTATACTGTCGTCCATCATCGTAAACTATTACAACCATCTCCTACTCTGAAACCAGTAAACCAATTTCGATCAACCCCTGCTAGCCAATCATTTTTGCCACATTTGTTAAAAATATAATATCAAGATAAAATTCAAATAATATCCTTATAGACCATAACTAGATAGATATAAAGAAATAAAACTGATGAGAAATGTTTAGAATCAGTAAAGTCCTTCTTTGTTGTAACAATGATTCCTGTTCATTTATTTAAACTTTTGGAAATTATTTAAATTATTTAGGCTCTGAAATCTTCGACTTATCAGAGACTTACTTTTAAATATTACTAGGCAACAGGAAGCTTGTCAGAAGGCAGTGCAGGAGCAGCCTAGTTATCGTTCCTGACCACAGCAATCTGAGTAAAGTACAAATATATCGTGCTTACTCGAGCATAACAAAATTAGAGATCTACATCTATTAATAAGATTGGACAAAGGTAACACCAAAGCCAGGCAGAGCTTTGCATGAGGGAGATTTTTTTTAAAAAAATAATCTAATTTCAATTGTGCAGAAAACTGTATTTTACTCTGTAAATGTCGTTTTTAGCTCATCTGGCTCGAGGGGCCAAGTGAGCTTTTTTCATTACTTGGCGTCCATCGTCTGTTGTCGTCGTCCGTCGTCGTCGTCGTTAACTTTTTACATTTTGAACTTCTTATAGAGAAACACTGAACAAGGATTTATTTAATACTGGAAACTACTTTTGAAAATGGAATGTCATATTTTTTTTCCTATTCTTTTTTCTACTTCAACCATATTTTAAAAAAAAATTAAATTATACTTTACCAAAGCATCTCTGTATTATAAACTTATCTTGTATTCATCATAGTTTTAAAGGTGTATGTGTAAGGTTTATAATCCATGTGCATGTACAACTTAGTTAACTAACCCTGTGCATGCACAGCCTTAGTTGACTTACTCTGTGTAGCACAGTCTTAGTGGACTTACTCTGTGTAGCACAGCCTTAGTGGACTAACCCTGTGCATGCACAGCATTAGTTGACTAACCCTGTGCATGCACAGCATTAGTTGACTAACCCTGTGCATGCACAGCATTAGTTGACTAACGCTGTGCATGCACAGCATAAGTTGACTAACCCTGTGCATGCACAGCCTTAGTTGACTAACCATGTGTATGCATTGTTAGTCCTTTGAATAAACTAATATGAAACCAATAAAGCAAGTCATGCAAAAACATGTTTTCGTACATGTACAAACCCTTGAAGTTCTATGTTGAAACATATATTATTTAAATAAAATGTAGACTAAGGCTTGCTTAATGTATGTACTTTAACAGTGCATTACAGTTGCACCAAATACTTGTACAGTTTATACACATGCAGCTTAGAGGAATTTGTTATCCATGTTACGATTGGCTTTGTGCAGTTACTCTCTATGCACAATTACATGTTTGGATGGAATTTGGACTTGTTTTTCTAAAACTATAGTCAGTTTTATGTATACTGTTTTTAATAATTTTAATAACTGCTCTGAAAAATCTATTCAAAATTCATACAATTGTAAGTCGAGGATACTGATGATTTCCTTTTGTAATCATTTTAATTGCTCATTGATATATATTTTGCAGGAGAAGAATTCACATTCTACCTTTTAATAACTCAGGAAATTCACCATTTAGAATTGGCTACTCAATTTGCAACAGTCCAAGTCAAAAATATATATGGAATAACCATACATTGTCTTAAAATTTATCAGAACAATTATCAGAAACAGGAAGTAATGAGGCATTTCTATCCTTATTTGAGCCTATTAAGGCAATAAAGTATGACACATGGGCAGATAATAGAAAAAAAGACAGAAGACATTTACTTTATTACATAATAAAACATAATTTTGTTACATTCAATATATAAAATAAGAGAATAGCAAGTTATAACATCAATTCATGGCAGTTGTGGTTCTGATTTCAAAATGCCTTTCTTTTATTAATTTGTTTGTCAAGTTAATTAAGGAAACTACTATTTATATCAGTTGAAATCAAGTTTCAAATGTTTAAATAAGTCTGATGGTAAAAAATTGAAAGAATGTTTTACAAAACTCATTGTCAGATCATCAATTTTATTTTAACCTCTATTCAATTTGTTTTTTATTTATAACAATTGGGGCAAAACTTATCAAACATACATATATAGAAATTTTAGACCATTTATAACAAAAATAACCATGATCCATATGTATATATATATACATACCATTACATATATCACATTCTAAAAAAAAGTAAAAATCTCTTTAATGATAATAAATGTCATTATTTATAACTATCACAGTTTCTGTGTTTTTTTTCACTAATTAACCTTGCTTATCACATTAAAGGGCATATGATACACTCATATATCACATTCTAAAAAAAGTAAAAATCTCTTTAATGATAATAAATGTCATTATTTATAACTATCACAGTTTCTGTTTTTTTTCACTAATTAACCTTGTTAATCACATTAACGGGCATATGATACACTCATATATCACATTCTAAAAAAAAGTAAAAATCTCTTTAATGATAATAAATGTCATTATTTATAACTATCACAGTTTTTTTTCACTTATTAACCTTGCTTATCACATTAAAGGGCATAAGATACACTCGTATATCACATTCTAAAAAAAAGTAAAAATCTCTGATACACTCATATATCACTTTCTAAAAAAAGTAAAAATCTCTTTAATGATAATAAATGTCATTATCTTTAACTATCACAGTTTTTTTTTCACTTATTAAGCTTGCTTATCACATTAAAGGGCATATGATACACTTGCAGTGAAGCTAAAATTCATTTTAAGTTAATGCAGTATTTTTGCAATAATAACTATTTGAGAGTTATTATCAGAAGACTTGTAATATTTTTTTATCATGATATATTAAATTATCGAGAAAAATATAAGTTATGCATATATTTTTTATTGACAGCAGAAATAACTTCACAATGACATATAGAATAACCATACATTGTCTCAAAGTATAAAACTTATTTATAAGTAAAAGGCTTAGAAACAGGATGAATGCGAGTCTGTCCCAAGCATTTCATCCTGTTTTGAGGCGAGTACAAATAAACTTTATATTTTGAGACAATGTATGGTTATTCTCTTTATTATGTACTGCAACTCTGAAGTTTCTAGTAAATAAAACATTTTTGATAAAAACCAACATTTTGAATGTTGAGGTAGACAACATTAAAATTTAGTGAATCTGTATTGTTTATTGACCTTATATTACTTCAAGAATCTTATACCAAAATTGCACAAAACAATTACCGTTTCAAATTTTTTACATGCCCCTGTAGTGCAGAGAACAAATATCTATGGGTCACTTATACATGTGTACTATTAAAATTATAAACCAAAAAACAGATTGACTCACCATTGATAACCATGACAATATTTACTTCTGTTAATTTTTTTGAGAAAAACATTTAAGTATGAAATTTTGAGTTTTAGATGAAACATGCAATTCCTAGAGATATATATTTTTTCATATTTCAAAAGTGCACATCAAAATTGACTTTCAATTAAAAAATTAAAGAAAGTTTCACCATGGGTTCTTTACTGAATCACATGTCTTTAAGAATCAATAACAGTGCATATACAAAATTGTCTGAATATTTGTCACACATATCCAAGAAAAATTTGTAACTCTGTTACTGCAGTACTAACTTGCCATAGTTTTAAATCATAAATGATTGAACATAAATTGTCACTATTTAGAAATTAAACTAGAGGAACTGTGATCAGAGCTCACAAACTTATACCCCGCTCCTAGCAAAGTTCATGTTTTGGTATTGGAAACCCCAAAAACCAATTTGACCAAAAATCAAACAGGAGGTGCACAATGGCATTATATGATTAAGAATCTCAGAAAGTTTCATTAAATTGTGATTAGTGGTTTAGGAGGAGTTGCAGATTCAAAATGAGTACCCCATTTTAAGGGCAATGGCAAAGTTCATGTTTTTTCAATTAGAAACCCCAAAAATGATTTTGAACAAAAATAAAATAGAAGGTGCACAATGGCATTACATCATTAAGAATCTGAGAAAGATTCATTAAATTATAACAAGTGGTTTAGGAGAAGTTGCAGATACAACATGGGTACCCCTTATTTTTAGGCAATAGAAAAGTCCATGTTTTTGAAATGGAAACCCCTAAAATGATTTTGAACAAAAACAAAATAGGAGGTGCACAATAGCATTATATCATCAAGAATCTGGGATTTGTTTCATTAAATCATAATAAGTGGTTCAGGAGGAGTTGCGGATACAACATTGGTACCCCCTATTTTTAGGCAATGGCAAAGTCCATGTTCTTTTAAATAGAAACCCAAAAAATGATTTTGAACAAAAACAAAATAGGAGGTGCACAATGGCATTATATTATTAAGAATCTGAGAAAGTTTCATATCATTCAGATAAGTGGTTAAGGAGGAGTTGCAGATACAAAGTATACGGGACAGACGGACGGAAGGACAGACTTCCCCATCACTATATACCTCCGCTTTTTAAAGCCGTGGTATAATGAAGGATTTAAATGCATGTGCATACTTCTCTATGCAATTCAACTCAATATTTCTAGAGGTTATAAATGATGTGTAAACTTGGTCAATAAATTAAAAAAATAATAATAAATGTTCATGGTTATGTAAGGACAGTTGAAAAAAGAGTGACAAACATAGCGATTAATATTTGATTTTGAATTTTGATGGGTATTAAAACCAGTAAATTAGTTAATGAATCAATTACTGCTCAGAAAGATTGAGTGACATTTGAGTTTCTGGAATATGTGTTATTTGTGTGTCAGACATGGACACTTGAGTATTGTCAAGGGTATCAATGGTGCTATCTGATTGTGTACACAAAGAGTCAACTGACGTCTGTTCAAAGTGCTCTGCAATTATGTTATTCTTGTTTTTTTCTAACTCAATTAGAATTTTCTTTTTATATTTACAAATAATACTTTCTACTGTGTTTCCGGAGCATGTTTTGTTGTTTATTTTAATATCAAAATTTACAGTAAATTGAGTGGGATGCATCAATGGATCCCTAGCTTGTGAACAGAACTCCACAAATCCAGTTGGTAGACTTTTCTTCTTTAATGTTACATCTGAAAAAATATAAAGTTAAGATACTTATTACCTTGAAAACAACAAACTTGTTTTATTACATTATAATTAATTCACTGACTTAGCCTAACACTTTAAGTTAAATAAGACTTCTTTTATTTAAACAAAGGATCAAAGTATGAAGTTACATAAAATTGACAAAAGTTATATTGTTTTATATCTACAACATTTTTGCTGTTAACAGTTTATCTTTAACTTCATATGTGGCACGTGCAACAATTGCTCGACTTAAAGGTCATAATTTGCATAACGAATCGGTCGATTTCAATGAAATCCCATTTATTTGTAATTTGGTTTGAGCAGATGGTGTTTTCAAACAAATACTTTTGAGGCTATCAAATATTTAATTTAAATTTTATAACATGACATATCTGGCAATTCACAATGCTTGCTAAATTTTCTAAATTAAAGTTTATTTAAGGTTTAAGACTTAACTAGAAGACAAAAATATGTATTTTATTCCTAAAAGCTGTAAATATGAGAATTGAATGCTGGTTTTTGAAAATGTATCTGGAAATAAATGCAAGTAGCGATCACATTTTAAGCAAGAAGCACTTCCCCGCTTCATACAAAATGTGATAGCTACTTGCATATATTTTCCTATAGAATTTCCTTAAAATTACCAATTAAGTGGCAGAAACTCAAAAATGGGTCTAAATGCATATGTTAAAAGTGATGTCACCCAAACTCAAAGTTGATATGTGTTTTGTGGTAATAAGCATTGTGTTTAAGTTTCATAATATTTGGTTGAGTCAATACTAAAGGAAGAGATCTGAGAAACCAATTTTGGGATTTACAGATGTAAATTCTGATGTACAGCCGCACATATTTTGCCACATATACACAGTGTTGGCTAAGATGAACCAAGGTTTTATCTTTCTCACTGCATGATTAATTTTCTTGTGTAAAACAAATTTTAATGTTTTGGATTTCATATTTTTCATAATAAAACATTATTGCATGCCTATTGCTTTCAGAAAGTGTCTGTTACATGTATATACTTATGTACTGTACTAAATGTATAAAATTACCTGCAAAGTCCCTCAACCTGGAGGATTCCTGAGGAAACAGGGATTTGGCCGATTCCCAGTTTTGAGAATCTGTCTGGTTCACAAATGCTGTTTTTAAAACAGATAAATTTTTTTCTATCTTCAACCATTCCAGTCCTTTTTTTAAGCCTTCTGTTTTGGATTTTTGTAGGGCAAGTGTAACAGTTTCCTTATTAAGACCCTGAAGAATTCTAAATAACTGAAAAGTAAAACAACTAGATAATTATTATTTCCGAATGTTTATGATGTTATTTTCATTCATGACCCATAAAGGATGCATTATCAGCTCTTATGTTAAAATGAATGGTTTTTACTGAATTTTTCAAAATAAAAATGACTCCGTTATATTAGTTACCTTGGTGTAATCAGGGATGTACAGAATTTACGAGTAACGATGTAATAATCTGTTTCTCTAATGATTATTAAACCAATTTTTTTATAATTTTATTGGCACTTGCCTCGAAACAGAACAAAAGTGCAAATTAAGCCTTTATTTTTTCCATGTTTCTAAGCCTTGTACAAATTATTACTATATTCTGATATGACGTGCTTCTTTCGCTTTGTAAACAACACTGTGATAAAATTCTTGATATATCTATACTTAGCGCAGACTCAGAGATATACATAATAATGGATGTTACAATATACCTCCCTCGTGAATCCACATGTATTGGAATATATTTTTGCAAACGCTATGCTGATTTTATTGTTTTAAAAATTGCAATTGAAAAAAGACTACAGAACTTTTATTCTTATTCAGATGTATAACAAAAAGAATTAATGCACAAGAGCTCGTAGACATCTACAAAATCAAAATAAATAAAATTCCGCGAAAGTCCATTAATGCTTTTGGCGCATTTATGTCATTTCAAAACATGGCGTCATACAAATGAAAACACTTAAGCTGAAGGTTTTTCCGTTACGTGAACCATCGAAATTCGTATATTACATTAAAATGGATTTTTGAGGTAGGTGTTGTTTCATTTTCTATTTTATTGCATTATTCGCATATTTACTGATTTCAGCAAGTCAACATGGCGGCTCCTTAGTTACGAAATATCAACTTTGGATTTGACGGTAGCTTACGAGAAAAACATGTAAATTAAAAATGGCAAATGTTGGGTTTGAGAATTAAAAGAATTAAGCACATTTTTTCTAGCGAAATTATTCAAGCTACAGATTTATTAGAATGTTTTAGCTTTATCTTACAGGGAGTAAAAAAGAACAGCCACACACACGGCATACCCACCCTCGCTTCAGTTTTTTAATGGAACAATGTATGGAAATTCTTTAATCAATCTTAAATATTGAATACACATAAAGTGTCCCAAGTCAAATTGAACTGCTATCATTAGCTGTTTTTCAGCTGTTATTTACCAGTTCTTCATATTTTTAGCAGTCTTTCAGCTGTTCTTAGCAGTCCATCTTATAGAAGTTTGAAAAACTGCCCTTTTTCACCATTTCTTAGCATTCATCTTAACAGTTTGTATACCTTCTAAAACTGCTGTCAATTTGTCAATTGGACAACAGTTATGACAGCAGTTCAATAGCAGTTTGATAGCAGTTTTGGTTTTAATCTCTGTTATAAAAATGCTTGGATCTGGCTGTATTTTCAGCTTGAAAGTAAACCTTTATTTGAAGATTATTCGATCATTTTCAAATGTGTATTTTGGCTCCAAGCTGTGTGTAAATGCTTGCTAATGAAAAACTACATTTTTGTCAGTTATAAGGTTTAGTTTAGGCTAAATGGAATACTTTCACACACCTGCAGTACAGTAAGTTGAAGTAACAGTTAATGCATGTGAATTTTCTGACATAACTTTGTAGGGGAAAACAGAAACCATACAGATCGAACGCCCCAAAAAAGGGGGATAGTTGTTTATTCAAATAGAATATCTGATGTTTACAGAATTGTAATAAAATACTAGCATATACTTACAGTGCAAGATGTTATTTATGAAAATAAATATATGAATATTTTAATAAAATTTTGTAAAAAAACGAAAAATGAATCATATTCAAGAGTTGAAAAAAGGGGGAGGGAATTTTAGGGAAACCTAGGCCGAAAATAGCTGATTGGTTAATATTGATCAAACAATCCATTTAATGAAGTTAATATATGTTACTTAGGTTTGATTCAGAAAGTGGAAACATAATATATTACATGTATTAAGATTTCTTTTATTTAAATCCAAAAGAGAAAGAGGAGATAACTGTTGTCTTTTGGTCCACATAAAAAATATATATCATTTGTATATTGTATATAGAGAGAAATTAGTAGTACATTTGGTAATTAAATAATAATAAAAAAGAAATAACTTTTAATCTGAAAATCACTTAGTCAAGGTAATTAATAGTTATTATAATCTAGTAACCACTCTTATTGAATAAGTTGCTTATTAAAAGCACTGATATTTAAAGTGCATTCTTAACTGTTCTTCTTATTCAGCCACTTCCATAATTAATAAGGGGTCTATTCTAAGGCCAGGTAAAGTACCGGTACTCAAAAAAACATGTTTACACCCCCTTAACAAGTCGGTTATTGGATTGAAATAGAGTAATTTGATTGCAGTTACTGCTCAAATTACAAATATAACATGTATTTTTGAAATTTCAACAAGACTAACAGTAAAATTAGAATTTTATTTTTGCATTCATATCTTGTACACAGTTTATTCATCGTACCTTTGTATTCCAACTTTTGACAGATCTGATAGCATTCCATAGCAGTTATTAGCAGTTTAGAAAACCATATTAGGATGTACAACTTAACAGTTCTATGAATATTCATTATTGATAGCTGTTATTATAGCAGTTCTCATGAATATTCAGAGAAGAAAGCAGTTTTTGAGTATCTCATTTAAATTTTTCGTCAAAAATAACTGCTAAATAATGTAATGTAACAATGTAATTGGTAATTAAATAATAAGGCTAAATAAACTGCTAAGAAACTGCTATGGAATGCAATTGGAATGCCTATATGAAAATTAACTATTGCCTTGAATTTGGCAACTGTGAATGCTAATGAACTGCTAAAGAACAGCTGTCAAATAAGAACTGTGAATGCTAATAAACTGCTAAAGAACTGCTGTCCACTTTGACTTGGGGTAGCATATCAAAATGATGTAATAAACAAGAAAATGTACCAGCACTATCACTTTCCATGTTCATTATAAACCATAAATTGGGATCAATCTCTAATTTGCATACAATTCAATTAGATCACATTACAATGAATATGTGCACTATGTTTCAAGATGATGTGACTTCAATTTCATCATAAACTACCTAATTGACAAAAAACTTGAAAATATACTGTTTTTATATTTCAAAACTTTAAAGTACAATGAACTGTGAAATTTGCAGCACAACCATTTATTTTCAATCTCCTTTACAACTGAATCGTGTGTTTTCCTGTAGTACTGAGAACAGATTATTTATTTGTTTCCTGACTTGGGCTGGCAGAGATATCTATTTTCAGCTATTGCCAGGAAAATTTATCTATTTTCAAAATCCTCCTGCCCCCATGCACCACCTCCCCCACAGAATATAAAATGGATGCCCCCCCCCCCCCCCCTCCAAAATATCAAATGGTTGTCCCCTTAATTATTCTTTAATTTGATTTTAAATTAATTACATTTTGTGGTAAACTCTTCTCAAGACCTTCTTCAAATTCAAATGAGTGCACTATTTGAAGGAACATTTGGTAATTCTCATCTGTGTACCTTGCAACACTTAGGACGGTTGACATTGAATCTTTTGACATCTGAAAAATTAATTTACACTACATTAATTTTAGGCTTAAGGGCATTTAAACTAATAAGTACAATTATCTACCTTGAAAAGATTCTGACCAGGATTATCTTCTTTCATGCATATATTCTAAGGTCATGTACTGCAACTGCATAAAGTTTCATCAATATTTATCCAGGAGTTGCACTTAAGAAACCTGTTGTCACATATTGCTATATCAAAACTAAGAAAGTTCAATTAATTCCCTTGAAACAAATCCAAACAAGAAATATCCTCCTTCATGCAAATCCTCAGGTTGTGTGCTACAACTGTAAAATTCCATCAATATTGATCCATCCATTTAGAAGTTGTTCTTACCAGACCTGAAGCCACATATTGCTTATATTAAAACTTACTAATTTCAATTATCTGCCTTGGAAAAATTCCGACCAGCAATTTCCTCTTTCATGCACATTCTCAGGTTGTATGATACAACTGTGCAAAGTTTCATAAATATTGATCGATTCGTTTAGGAGTAGTTGGGCTTACAAACATATGGACTGACAGATTCAGACCGAAAGACGGACAGGGTGAAACAAAAACATTTTTTTGGGGGGTATAAAAAACATTTAGTTATTCTACCTGACTAAAGTTTGGAGTAGATATTAGGTCAAATCTTAACTGGAACTTGTGATATAATATTAAACACATGATAAACGAATAAGAATATTATAAGTTTGAAGAGGCAAATAATGTTTAAAAGAGTGAATTATTATGTACTTAAACACAAATTAGAAGACATCAAAACCAAATAGCTCGTGCATTTTTCTGAGTAGGTGATAATTTTTGTTTAAAATAATATACTTTGCCATGGGCATTTGATAGCTAGTAGTACCAAACATAAAGATTGACAACTGGTTGATTTATTGACAGTTCAGATAACCAGAGCTACATGAACAACAATTTCGGTATTCATTATTTCTTCATTGAGTCTTGTGTAACTAAGAGTGACATCTCCTTGTTATATGTTCCAATTTTAGCTAGTCAAAATTTGTTGTCTTCCTTGAAAATCTTCATTATTTAATTTTTAATGCCACTTATTTCATTTAATCTTAATCATTACTAAATTTGAAAAACTATAAGATTTAACAATTTTTAATCAATTTATACAGACATTTAATCATATTAAGAAATTGATCTTTTTGTTTTGCAGTGTAAAAAATATAAAATACCGCACAATTGTTTTTTTGTTTTTTTTCTGATTGTGTAAATAATAGGTCTGTAATAACCGTCCCTACAGTAATAGTCCATTTCTGTGAATACAGGCAGTGCAAGGGCCAGTCAATGTCGTTTAACTCCCCCCCGCCCCCCTATAGTAGTAGTCCATTTCTGTACATTTTGCTGACAGAGCAAGGGCTTAATAGCCAGTCAAGGTCATTAAAAACGCCCCGTAGTAGTGTCCATTTTAACAAAGCTGACAATGATAAGAAAAACTGACATTTAAATAAATTCCTGAAGAAAACACTAAAGTCTTTAATCTCCAGAAATGTCTCGATGAGAAAGAATAATAAAAGAAATCAAATGGAGTTAATGAACTTATGTGAAAAAGAAATTAAATTATAATTGATAAAAAAATAAATTATCTCCCCTTAGTGGTGGAATTTAAAAAAAAAGAACAAAGACTTATCTAACATAAATCACCAACACAGTGGAAAACACATCATTTTTATTTTAAACATTCACAGTCTGAATGAAATGAAACCAAACATGACATGAATGTTCCTTATGAAGTGCTGACCAAGTGTTGTTACTTTCAAGTGTAGCTGATCCATCATCTAAGATGGCCGCCAGCAGGGGACATCGTTTAGCATAGGACCCTATGGACAATACATACAAATATCTTCTTTTAGAGAAACATTGAATGGAATGAAACCAAACATTGCATGCATAATCTTTGTGAGGTGCTCACCAAGTGTTGTTACTTTAAAGCCAATCCATCATCCAAGATGGCCGCCAGCAGGGATCTTCATTTAATATAGGACCCTATGGACAATATATACAAATATCTACTTTTAGAGAATGACTGAATGGAATGAAACCAAACATGTCATGAATCTTTCTTATGAGGTGCTGCCCAAGTGTTGTTACGTTGTAGGCAATCAATCGTCCAAGATGGCCTCCAGCGGAGATTAAGTTTAACATAGGACCTTATTGGAAATTCTTACAAATGTTTTCTTTTAGGGAACCACTGAATGCAATGAAATCAACATGGCATGAATGTTCATAATGCTGTGCTGGCCAAGTGTTGTCACTTTTTAGCCAATCAATGATCCAAGATGGCTGCCAACAGGGAACTTAGTTTTACAAAAATCGCTATGTGAAATACATACAAAAGTTTTCTTTTGAAGAACCACTGAATGGAATGATGAAACCAAACATGGCATGAATGTTCCTTATGCGGTGCTGACCAAGTGTTGTTACTTTGTAGCAAATCCATCAACCAAGGTGGTTGCCAACGGGGACTTAGTTTAACAAAGGACTCTATGGTAAATATATGCAAATGCCTTCTTTTACAAAACCGCTCAATGGAATAAAACCAAACATGCTATGAATGTTTATTTTGAGGTGCTGACCAAGTGTTGTTACTTTGTAGCTGATTTTCTACAATTTCAATTAATTTATTTGTAATTTCTGTTAACTTTACAAAAGTCTTCTGCTTTTGGTTAAAATACGAGGCCAATATTAAACCAAATTTGGCCTCAATCATTGTTAGGGTATCTGTTATGATTTTTTTAATCCATTTTTAAATGATTTCCAAAACCAAAATATAATCAGGTGAGCGACACAGGCTCTTGAGAGCCTATAGATATTATTTTTGTGGTTGGTTACTGTCTCATTAACATATGCCAACATCTCCTTTTATTCATATTGATAATAAGATATGTGTAAAATTGTCATTATATAAGATTTTCCTTATTTTAAAAGAGACATGAAAGATCAACTAAAGGAATGTTCAAACTCATGGCAAAAACGAAAAAAAAACAATCAAAAGACAAAAAGACAAAAACAGATGGAAACACAACACTGAAAACTAAAGACTGAACAACACAAACCCAACCAAAAATCGGGATTAATTTCAGGTGCTCTGGAAGGGTAAGCAGATCCTGCTCTACATGTGACATCCTATAAAGTATGTTGATAATTTATATCAAATAATTAAGCATCATGCAAAATTAGCTAACCCTGAAACTTGACCCAAAGTGAAATTTGGAATTTGAAATAAGTTTTCATGACGAAGGATAGACAAGCATGTTACCGTATAAACATCTTTGACATTAAGCAAAAATAAAAAGCACAAAGAATACAATAAAGACTAGAGCAAGAGCAATACGAACTTCCTTAGACAAAAATATGTTTGATCTCAGGTAATCCGAAAGGGTTAGCAGATCCTGCTCAACATGTGGCACCCGTCTAGTTGCTAATCTAAGAACAAACTGGTTGCAAAGACTAATTCGGTATGTAATATTCGAGGAAAAGAGGGCGGGATTGTGGGTACGAAATTAAGAACATATCCATCGCCATCTGTAATATGATGCCAGAGAGAAATGAAAATTTCACAATTTGGAAGCTTACATTATTTCTTTTGAGACTTAAATGTATCTGTTGTATCCTTCAATACAAGTTCGATGGGATAGATGCGTTCAACATAGTCGCCACACTTTTAACCATTTAGTGAGAGTACATTATCTATATTGCAGGACGCGAAGTCAAAGGTTAATGCTAGAATCATTGCATATTATATTCAAGGTGGCCTTTGGCTGTTGTTTCTTTGACACATACCTCATTTCCAATCTCGATTTTATTTAATGTGTAAACTGTTATTCAAATTAAGAAAAATAAAAGATTTATTGCATTATTTTGACTGTTTTAATAAATACCTAATATCGGTATATGTTTTTGTTTGATTTAATATTTTAACTTCGTCATACAAGGGGATATAACTTTAGGGTAAATTTTATCGGAAAGGAATATTATTTTTCACTTCTAACAAGAAAACACACTCGGTGACAAAATTATTTTTCACTTCTGACAAGAAAACACACTCGGTGACAAAATTATTTTAAATTTTTTCTTAAATGAAATCATAAAACATATTTTTTCATATTTATGTATTTGATTTCAAAATTCTATCTCAAAGATTTCTTTTTATTCACCAAAAACATATTTTTTGTCATGAATAACTACGACTTGTAGCTTGAAAAATAGCACGATTACTACAAATATATGTTTTGAAAAAAAGCATGGAACAATCTACATTTTGTCAAAGTATCAGAAAATTATATCTCAAGAATACATAACTCCATAATGTCATACTCAAACATTTATATTAAAATGACAATGGTTAACGACGATTGATCATTTTGTTTATTATTTTCAAAGCAATAAAAAAAAAGTGAGTCATTTTTCTAGCAAGACGATTATTTCCAATGTTTTCGAAGGAAATATAGTAAATACATAGAAACTTCCAAAAACAGTTAAGCAGGACAGGTCTACCAATAAGCAAGAAAGGCCAAACTTATCAGTCCACACCTTATAGTAGTCATATGTGTTCTTGCAAATACTATAGTGGATAGAGAGAATCTGTTTGAGCAAATCACCAGGACAAGATCTATAAATAAGCCAAATGGACGAAAGCATTGAGCGACTGCGCGATCGATTCTTATACAAGTTATGGCCCTTGAAAGTATATTTGTACCAATTTTGGATGTTTTAACTGAAATTAACATGTTTTAGCAATTTGTTGTTTTGTGTCAGTAACTATTTAAGCCTGTTTCCGTTCATCATCCGTGATTTCGAAATAAATATTAAGTAATGAGAAAACCCATACTGCATAGTTGGATATATAAAAGGCCAAAAATGGTACAATACAATTGAGAAAACTAAACTAAAAACACATATAACACAAATTTTATTACGTACATATCGTTATAATTTTATTTTGGATGTAACACGTCTTCTGATTGGCTGAAAGTGTTTTGTCTATCAGCTCATAGACATAATTTTGTCATGTGACCGCGACGTCATCAACTTTTTCATCATGATTTACAACTTTTTAGAATTAAATTATAAGGAATGACTTTAATATTTTTTTCTGTCTATTCGAAATAACATAAAAAATGTGGTGCACACTTTAAAATAAACCGTTACGCGGGTTATTCAGTGTACACCACATTTTTTATGTTATTTTTTCATAGACAGAAAAAATATTACAGTCATTCCTTAAATAAATAAAAATTAAAACAAGAAGCACGGATCAACTTACTCCTGTCCTTACATAATTCTGATTATGTAGTCTATCAAATCTTTAAAATCATCTCGGACTGAGTTTTTAATTTTTTTTTTTTTAAAGAAAAGTCTTTTTATTTCAACTATAATATATGCTTTTCCCCAAAAAAACAATAATGCAGGGTTTTTTTCCTTTGGTAGTTTATTAATCTCGGTTTGTGAGTGAAATTAGATGGTCTAAGAAGGTTACAATTATTCCTCAGATTGTGATTGTTTTATTTGAATCTATCTAAAATGCTACAAATCTAACATAGAAATAACTAAGATATTTTTCTGACACAAACAATTTTAGTATTCGCATATTGTGCCTTTGGTATCTTTCGCCTCTCTTTTGCGTTACAAATTACGAACTGATTACCACTAGATGATGCATTATTTTTGAATAAGGTTAAATATGGTCCAATTGTTCTCAGTATATAGCAGTTTTTCGCGTCGATAACTTTGACCGTAATCTGTAGTCTAGAAAATTGTTGTGTCGAAGGATTCGATATAAACTTAGGCAGTTTAAGGTTATATTCCAATTTATATCATAGGTGGCAGCTATGGTTTTTCTAAAGCTTCCAGGTCCACAAATACAAAATGTGCTGTCTATGGAGCATGTACTCTACGAATTATGATACTCGATAGATTTGCTTTACTTAATGTTAAGAGTTTTGAGAAAGACCCATTCAAGAACCAAAGTCTGGCCTTTATCATAATATATGATAAAGTCAAAATTTAAAGCACACTTTTGACAAAAGTAAACCATGTTCTTTTATGTCACAAAGCAGGGGCGGATTCAGAATATTTAAACATTGTGGAGAGGGTAGAGGGGTATGTGGATTCACAAAAACTTAAAAATCATTTTAGACGATTTCTTGCAAATTATATATTTTTCAATCAATTTTGTTTACGGCCTACCCTGTATCCGCCAAGACACTTGATCATCCAAATATCTGATTTAGCGGGAGATCTTGGTACGCTCTAATTGTGTTATATTGAGATTTAGTATCATAATCAATTCATAATTTCTTCTAAGTAAAAACAGAATTTTGAGATTTTACTTAAATTTTGTTTTTCTGCTAGTTCGTTATTCTAAGATAATATTGCAGACGAGACATCTCGGGACAGTTAAGATAAACATGATAAAAGACAGCCGCCAAAATTTTCATACTTTAAATGCATATGGTATGTAATTCTATTCTTTCAGTATGTCGGACAGTGAATTATGTGATGTTTGTCGGTGTGGTAACGAAGATATAAAAGTCGTATCCTGGTGCAGTGACTGCAGTGAACTTGTATGTAACGCATGCGCCAGAGTTCATGAAAGGATGTCCCCGCCTCACAAAGTAGTACCAATGAAAGAGATACAACTCTGTTCTTCGCTTCTTAAATTGTCCAAAAACTGCGACAATCACCCCGATCAAAAGATTGTACTGTTCTGTTGTCAACATGACAAAGTGATCTGCGATTTATGTGTACCTGTATTACATCTACATTGTAAGCCTATCATTTCAATTGAAAACGCTGCTAGAGGCGTGAAAGATGGCACTGCTATTTCTGACGTAGAGAGAAGAATGGACAATCTTAGTAAAGTAACAGACAACATACTGAGTAAAACTGAGATAACACTTGAAGATTTGAAGAAAAGTCGAATCAATATCAAGAAAAGAGTGTCGGATATCAAACAGAAAGTTATTGCTCATTTAGATCAGATAGAAGCAGATATGCATAAAGACATTGATAACAAGTATAAATACTGTAATGACACGGTATCCCGACATAAAAATAGCGTCAAATCTAGCTCTGACTCACTGTCTACATGGAAAAGAGATCTTAAATCACTAAAACAACACACATCTGAAATCCATTTATTTCAGGCAGTAAAATTTCTAGATACGATAACCCATCAAAAAGAATTGAAGATCAGAGAAATTCAAGCAGCAACTGTTCCTATACTAACATATCATCCTTCAGAGTATGAGTCGAACATGACGAAATTAATCACAGACTTGGGTACAATAACAGTAGACTTTGTCTCAGTACCAATACCTGCACTAGATATCGATCAACAAGGTCAGTTTCTTGTTAGAGATAAAAGACAATTGTCGTTGGCACATTCCTTTCAGACCTCGAAATTAGGTGGTGAAGTTAGAATTACTAGAGGTTGTTTTATTCCTGGTGAAAGGTTACTCCTTTGTCATGAATTAAAAAGAAAACTTTATGTCTGTAAACTTGATGGATCCAAATCCAAGGTACTTAATTTGGATTATAATTCAGAACGTCTTAACTTGTATGACAACAACCATGCTTTAGTATCTTTAGGTAATGGAGGTATCCAAATTATTGACCTGAAAAAATTAAAGCCCCGTGGGATAATTAAAGTTGATGGAAACTGTTATGGCATCACCAGTGTAAAGGATAAGATCTGGGTAAACAACCAAGACAACACTCTTATCATAGTAGATATCAAGGGTAAAGTTCTCAATACAATACCAATTCAAACAACATTTGATCCTTATAATATATGTAGTAACAAAGATGGTGATGTCATTTACTGTACAGACTTCGCTAGTGATAAAGTCTTCGTTGTTACATCGGGTGGTAAAGAACGGGTGATATACAGAAGTCATGATCTGGGAGGTGCTAGTGGTGTGGCGGTAGATGACCGTGGGGATGTGTATATAGCAGGGTTTATATCAAACAACATACATAGAATATCTAATGACGGACATGATATTGTCCTGACAGCAGACGATGGTATCAATGAACCGACTGATTTATCTTACAATAGTGAAACGAGAGAACTATTAGTTATAAACAACAATTTGAAATCAGTCAACATTTATAAAGTACAATGAACACTGACTAAGGAACGCTGACTGTTAAGTCGCGTAATTATTTGCATTGACGATTAACATTAGATAATAAAATATACTGTTAGTAATTTTATGAGATATTTGCTAATACATCATAATACGAAGTTTAAATATGTTGCATGAAACTTATTTTCGTTTTTACACTCGACTTGTTTTAATATTTTCAAAATTTGACACAAAATTAAAGCTCTTTTTTTTAACTAACTAGGCCAAGCAGTTTAGTTTAGTAAATACAAGATCGTAATTGTCAGTCGGTAGTATAGGAACTTGTTTTGACAATATTTTACCTTTCCCAGTGTAAGTCCATAATGAGTAGAGTTTGAGAGTACATAGGTAAAAAAAATTATTATTTCAGATCGATTCATTTACAATCATTCCAAATTCGCGCACCTGATCCGAACACGCCAGTGTTAGCTTTTCCCATCATTTTGCGTCCGTCGTCCGTTATAAACTAAATAAAAGTTATTCTCTCAAACCTGCTCACCAATTAGAAAAAAAAATTTGTGGAAAAATCATTTCTATTTTCATTATCAAAATTTAAAGTTTGAAAGTAGCGGACACGATTAGGAACACACGAAAGAAATTGTTGAATAAGTGTTGCTTGCTTTAAGTCCAGTGATTTTGAAACAACAACCCTTGAAGAAAAAAGTCTTGGACACATTGATTACATAACTTCTTCCTGCAAACGACACACAGCCAACCCTGTATTAGAGAAGTAATTGAGAACAACTAACTAATCCACAAACACAAACACATACTGATAATTGTTTAAAGAGCAACTTATATTCACTCAATACAAGAAAAGGCATCTCAAATGGCAGGAATCTAAATATTGTATGGTTGAACTGTTTTCGAATTCAGTCTCGCATTAATTTTCCCTTATTTGAAATCTTATAGTTGATGTGTTTTTTATTTGAAAATTGATAATAAAATAAACAGCATCAAGATCGAAGTTAAAAATGAACTTGACGCTATGAAAAACAACCTGAAATCGGTGGAAAAAACGTACGCATGTATCGTTAAAATTCACAAACTCGGATACCATTGAAAGACGGGAAAATTTGATAATTAAAATATTACCCAATGATAAAAATGAAACACCCACAAATAATTGTTTAAAAAACCATGTGATATCAATGATAAGAGATGGACTTAAGTTAAGAGATGAAAATGTGGAAAGAAAACAATTAAATGGTCCCCGCCCAGGCGTAGTGGTGGCAAGATTAAATTCTAAACAGGACAAAACAACAGTTATGGAAAAGAAAATGGAACTCAGGAAAACGCAAAAATATAGAAACGTGTATACTGAGAGTGATGTTGCATACGAGACCAGGGTCCAGAACTCAAATATGCGCCATAAACTTCAAGAAATTTGAAAATTGAACTACTTCAAAATTTTGCAAGGAAAGCTAGTGATAAACTTCCAACGTAATCATAACCAATACAGAAGAAGGTAGGAATTAATGCTGGTGTATGTAATGTTGGAATGGTGGTCACAACACACCGAAAGTAAAAATAATAAATTTCGACATTGCGTTCTAGAACAACTGAATTTTGATATATTCTGTGTGTGAGGAACTGTTTTAGTTGGTAATAACAAACTTGATAAAGAAGATTATACCTTCTATGACACAACAGACTGGTTAAGCATCATAAAGCGAAGCGTGGCTCAGGTGGAGAAGGAATATTTGTTAAAAGTAGTATCGAAGATCAATATAAAGTTACAATTTTAGATAATAGCGCCGAAGGCATTCTTTGGCTGAATTTCTACAACGAACAGGAAACGTTTTGTGTGTGCGTATGTTATTTACCACCAACAGGCTCAAGCCGCTCGAATGACCCAGATTAGTTTTATGCGGATCTTGCTAATCAGATATATATGTATCAGAACATTGCACAGATGTGTATAGTTGGTGATTTCAACTCAAGATCCTCAGACATTTCAGATTTCGTTGAAGGAGTTGATGATTTAACACCAAGAGAGGTGATTGATTATAATTCAAATTCCAACGGTGATTTATAAATAGATTTCCTAGTCGATTGTAATTTGCATGCTAAATGGAAGAAAAGGAAAACAAGATTTCACGTGTATATCAAAACGAGGTAAATCAGTTGAAGACTTCATAATAACAACCTATGAAAACATTCATATGTGCACTGATTTTGATGTTAAAATTATTTAATGATATTTCCAACGAATTAGAATTGCAAGACTCGAATCAAATACCTGACCATTCGGTACTTACTGTTCCATTCAAGAGAAAATCGACTCATAAACAAGACAAAACACAGCAAGCGTCTTACTCCAATATTATTCAAAAACTTCCATGTAAACCGAGATCTTGAAGCATACGAAACGAATTTTTAAGTGACGACGTGGTGCGAGTAATTTTAAAACATAGAAAATAATTTAACCGAGAAACAAGACGTCGATGCTGCGGTTGTTTTGTTGAACTTATTTCTGATGGAGTGAAATCCAAGATAGGTGAAAAATCAGAAGCAAATAACCAACACAGGAAGGCAAAAGAAAAATCAAGATACAAACCATACTGGAATGAGAATCTGAAAGTACTTTGGCATAAAACCTGCGAACACGAAAAAATATGGCTGAAATGGAAAGGATGTGGTACGAAAAGAAACGTGTGCGAGAACAATTTCTTACATCGAGAAATACGTTCGATAAACTTTTTAGGAAAGAAAAACGAAGTTATCAAATGCGCCAACAGGAAGAGCTAGTTAATCTTTCGACCAGAAACCAACACAAGAGACTTTTGGAAGAAAATTGGCAGATTAGGAATAGCTAATGACAGACGTTCTTCAATACCAATGGAAGTATTACCATCAGAAGGTAATGTGAGTGAAGATGTAAACACAGTATATAATACATGGAAACGAAAGTATGAACATTTATTTCATGTAAGTGATTGTGAGTACAACGAAGATTTCTATGTATTGTCCAACAGCAACTAGAAAATGATATAACAGATAATTCGGTAAACGAATCAGAAATTTTGAATAATGATATATATTAAGAACGATGACGTTAAGAAGGCAGTATACCGAGCAAAACTTAACAAAGCCGGTGGGCTCGACCAAATATGTGCCGAATTTCTTCGTAATAATTCATGTGTGAATATTCTATTCAAGATTATAAAATACGCATTTGAAAATGGAGTTGTTCCTGAGACATGGAATAATTTACTCATTAATGACCCCATTAATCCAATATTAAAACCTGATAAAGACTATCGTGATCCTTAAGGTTATCGAGGGATAGCTCTGATGTCAATCCCCTGTAAGATATATGCAGATATTCTTAACAGACGTTTATCAACCTGGTTAAAAGAAAATAATATCTTAGCTGATGAACAAAACGGCTTTAGAAAAGATCGTGGTTGCATCGAACATTTGTACTCTCTAACAAGACTTGGATGGAGAGTTGTCTCATTGGCACTCATACCACATCTTCTTATATCTACTTATAACTAATAGAAAAATCGAAAGACGTTCAACGTTTGCATGTTTCATTGATACACAAAAGACTTTTGATTCTGTAAAAAGAGAGATGGTGTGGTTTAAACTGACGTCATTGTGCATAAAGGGAAAGTTTCTGAAAGGATTACAGTCACTGTATGTAGACGTAAGCTATGCTGTTATAGTAAACGGCTATATGACCGATATGTTTGACGTTAATATGGGTGTAAAAGAAGAGTGCAAAATATCCCCTACATTATTCTCAGTGTATGTTAACGATCTTGTCGATGAAATAAACAACATGAATCTTGTTATCCCGATCAATGAGTCGTACATTTTGTCCATCCTTTTATACGCTGATGACATTGTTTTACTAGCACCCGATGAAGAATCCCTTCAACTGATGTTAAATGTAGTCAACAATTGGTCTTCAAAGTGGAGATTGAGTGTAAATTTTGAAAAGAAAAATTTGTACATTTTCGTTGTCCGGCAATCCCTCGATCGAACTTTGACTTTCATTTTGGAGACACAGCTATTGAATATTGCAGTAAATATCGACACTTGGGACTGTGGCTTGATGAACATCTAAATTGGAAATTTACAGTGAGGGAAATACGGAAATCGGCAAGTAGAGCACTCTCCGCTCTTTATACAAAGTTCATTTCATGTGGCAGTATGGACTATGACATATTTACAAAACTATATAAAAGTCTTGTTCAGCCTGTGTTATTATATGGAGCGAGTATTTGGGGCATATAAGAACACAAACAATTAGAAGCTGTTCAAAACAAAGCGTGCCGATACTACCTAGGAGCTTTCAAGAACTCTTCAAATCTAGCTATACGTGGAGACATGGGATGGTCTACAGTAAAGACTAAACAAAACGTTGAAGTTTTGAGACAGACTGTATTTTAAACTTGCTAATTTAGATGAAAATAGGCTAGTAAAACTGATACATGAATCGAGCAAATCAAAACAGCGCTCCTGGCACTCCCGCGTACTGGAATTCGTTCAAAAATGGGAACTTACTTGTTTGATGAACGCTCAAAATATGACAACCCGACAAAAAGTTAGTATTTTAAAGGACAAGTTAAACAGTATGGATGCTGAAAATTGGTTAAGTGACGTGTACAACGATAGATACTGTGACAATGGAAATAAACTTAGAACGTTCAGACAGTACAAAAATAATCTTCAGCCAAGCAGTTAACTGAAATCCGTTAAGTTTAGACACTACCGTAGAACTCTATCAAACTTTCGTTGTGGCTCTTTACCACTCGCCATTGAAACAGGACATTACACCAGGCCAATTACACCTTTGATTGAAAGATTTTGTCAATTTTGTGATGTGAATACAATTGAAACTGAACAACATTTTTTAATGAACTGTAATTTATATTCGGACTTGAGTCTGGAACTTTTTCATTCATCCATTCTATCATATGATGTTTTTATTACCTTGAGTGCATGTGAAGAAGAGAAATTTAATCATATTATGAGCTGTGATGAAATTCAATTTGTATTAGCAAAAACATTCTAAAGAGTTTAAATTTTTAATTATTTATTTATTAATAAATAAATTTGGTGTATTTACTGTCTTTTGATTGGTTAAAAGTTTTACCTTTATTTTCAATGTTGTCAATTTTTATGGCGACACGCCCACTCTGACGTTGTGTATTCATACGCCAACATGTGTGTACGTTGTTATTGTTAATATAATTATAATATAAAAAGCTATTTGAGACTTATTTTTGATAGAAATTTATTTACAATGGATGACAATAATTTATTTTGAATTTATTGAACCATAAAATTAATTTTTGACTCTTCACATTTTACATAATCCGCTTCAATGTGAAGAGTCAAAAATTAATTTTATGGTTTAATAAATTCAAAATAAATAATAGTCATTCATTAAACATATTAAGTTTTTTAAAACACTTCTACTTTTTTTGTTCTTTTTAGTGAAAAATGTTTATTTTAAAAGTAATTGTTGTATACTTTTAAATAATTTTTAAATTTTGAAAAACGATTTTCAAATTGTGTATGCATTTAATGGACATGTAGTAAAAGTGGCTCATATGTCTACAAGTGTCTCATATGTCTTTTAAGGCAGGAATCTAATATATTTTTATGCTGTTTTATCTGATTTATAATAAATTATGTATGATATTAGATTGTGACACTGTAATAAACTATTTACTTACTTACTTACTTACTTACTTACTTACTTACTTACTTACTTACTTACTTACTGAATAAATGTATAAATGTTGTGGATATTCGAATATCACATTTTGAAAATAATTCAGAAATAAATAAAAGAGTACATAATATGCCTATTTCTAGAATAAGAAATAAACTTCAAGAACTTTCAAAGCGGTTTGTGTTTGTACCGGCCGACAAAGCAGCCAACAATGTGGTGGTGGTATGCCGTAAATAATACACGGACGTTCTTAAGAATGAAATTTTAAATGCATCTACATTCAAGTCCGTGCACTCTACAGAGAGTCATATAGTAAACAAACATATCATAACCACATCACAGCTTAAGGCCTCTTTTGGATATTTGAAGGTCCCTGCTATGTATTAGTTACCTAAACTACAAAAAAAAAACCAGTAAAATATCGTTTCATCTCGGTCTCTAGTAAGTGTTCTACAACTAATCTTTCAGTGCTTTTAACTAGTTCTTTAACTACTATCAAAGAACTTATCATTAACTGTTGTAATAAAATATATGAAAATAGTAGAATTAACTATTTTTGGAGTGTAAAACATTCTTTTGATGTTTTAGATAAATTACGTGCTTTTGATGGTCCTTTTAATTCTGTTGACAGTTTTGCCTTTTCAACTCTTTACAATACACTTACAGACAATCTTATCAAACAAAAGTTTTCCTATTTAATTAAAGGGTCGTTTGGTAAATCTGAATGCAAAAATATTTGCTGCAACTCATTTAAAGCCTTCTTCTCTAATGAGAAAGGTAAATATGCTAGATATACTTACTGGAGGTGTGATGAGATGATTGAAGCTGTGAATTTTCTCCTTGATAGTATTTATGTACGTTTCGGCAACAAAGTTTATCGACATGTTGTAGGTATTCCTATGGGCACTAATTGTACCCCTTTAATAGCAGACTTGTTCTTATACTGTTATGAATCACAGTTTATGAGCAAACTCAGTAAACACCCGTCTAAATTGCATTTAATTGATAAATTCAACAACACTTACCGTTATCTTGGTGATATTTTTTCGTTAGTTAATCATGAATTTTCTAAACATACTGGCGAAATTTACCCAAAGGAACTTATTTTAAATAAATCAAATATAAACGATAATAACTGTCCTTTCCTAGATTTAGATATATCAGTTTTACACGGGAAATTCCACACTACAAAAGAGACGATTTTTCGTTCCCTATTGTTAATTTCCCTTTTTTGGATGGTGATGTTCCTTTGGTACCATCTTACGGTGTTTATATATCACAACTCGTTCGCTATGCCCGTGTCTGTTGTGACGTTTCGGATTTTAATGAACGTAATCTATGTATTACTGGTAAATTATTAAGTCAGGGATTTTGTCACCACCAATTACTTAAAACCTTTACTAAATTCTTCCATAGATATAAAGATTTGGTTTTGAAGTTTGGTTGTACCTGTGGAAAACTTATTTCAAACAGGATAGCACATCCTCATTTTTACGGAGATGTTGTTTACCGTGCCCGGAATTTTAGAAAAGATCCTGGTAAACTTACCGATCCTTTAAATAAACTTATTCCAAAAGGTTACCAATTCAACACTGTAATTAGATCTTTGAATATTGTGTTTATTGGTATTAATATTGATTTTGTTATCAGTAAATTAAAAGCAAAGTGAAACTAAATATTATTGTTATATACATATGCATAGTCATTGCTCTACAATCTGTCGATACCTGTATCTTGGCATTTCACAAGGTCGTGTTTTTCTCCGACTGTTTATGGCGTCTTTACACTTAATCCATTGGATGTTGGATTTGTACTGATTGATAATTTATTCTTAGATGCATGATTTTTTTATTAGTTGTTATTGGCTTTGAACTAGCTGTCAGTAACTGCGAGTACTCTCAGGTCTGTGTCTTTTTGTTGTTGTGAAGTACAAGTACCCGGTCACGTCTACTCTGTGTTTTTGTTAGATGTATTTCTATCTGTATCCATCTGATGAGTTAAGCCTTTTTCAACTGATTTTTATAGTTTGTTCCTAAGTTGTACTGTTACACCACTGTCCCAGGTTATGGGGAGGGATGGGCGCCCGCTAACATGCTTACCCCCGCCACATTCTGTATGTGCCTGTCCCAAGCCAGGAGCCTGTAATTCAGTGGTTGTCGTATGTTGCTGTGTTACATAATTGTTTTTCGTTCATTATTTTGTACATAAATTAGGCCGTTAGTTTTCTCGTTTGAATTGTTTTACATTTGTCATTTCGGGGCCTTTTATAGCTGACTTTGCGGTATGGGCTTTGCTCATTGTTGAAGACCGTACGGTGACCTATATAGTTGTTAATTTCTGTGTCATTTGGTCTCTTGTGAGGAGTTGTCTCATTGGCAATCATACCACATTTTTTTATATTTACACCGATACTTGTCGCTGATTTTTTTGTTACCTAAGTACATCTATATAAAAAAATCAGAGAAATGTACCTGTGGTATTTGGCGGTTATTTATTATCTTGACATTTTGCCAATTACATCGGTAGATAGACTCATACATAAGGTTTGTTCATTACCATGGTGTTAGTAAAACCCTTTAGATATACTTCGTGTCGGGTGTACTGTCCTACCCTTTAGATAGACTTCGTGTCGGGTGTACTGTCCTACCCTTTAGACTCCGTGTCGGGTGTACTGTCCTACCCTTTAGATAGACTTCGTGTCAGGTGTACTGTCCTACCCTTTAGATAGACGTCGTGTCGGGTGTACTGTCCTACCCTTTAGATAGACTTCGTGTCGGGTGTACTGTCCTACCCTTTAGATAGACTTCGTGTCGGGTGTACTGTCCTACCCTTTAGATAGACTTCGTGTCGGGTGTACTGTCCTACCCTTTAGATAGACTTCGTGTCGGGTGTACTGTCCTACCCTTTAGATAGACTTCGTGTCGGGTGTACTGTCCTACCCTTTAGGTAGACTTCGTGTCAGGTGTACTGTCCTACCCTTTAGATAGACTTCGTGTCGGGTGTACTGTCCTGCCCTTTAAATAGACTTCGTGTCGGGTGTACTGTCCTACCCTTTAGATAGACTTCGTGTCGGGTGTACTGTCCTACCCTTTAGATAGACTTCGTGTCGGGTGTACTGTCCTATCCTTTAGATAGACTTCGTGTCGGGTGTACTGTCCTACCCTTTAGACTCCGTGTCGGGTGTACTGTCCTACCCTTTAGATAGACTTCGTGTCGGGTGTACTGTCCTACCCTTTAGATAGACTTCGTGTCGGGTGTACTGTCCTACCCTTTAGATAGACTTCGTGTCGGGTGTACTGTCCTACCCTTTAGATAGACTTCGTGTCGGATGTACTGTCCTACCCTTTCGGTAGACTTCGTGTCGGGTGTACTGTTCTCGGGATTAAGATTTTGAATTTGTTTTCAGTTGATTTGGTACTCTCCCCTGTTATTATCTGTTGTAAGAGATTGAAGAAATAAAATTGTAACTACTCTACCTAAATTATCAATTTAACAAGCGTGAAGGGGCCTTCAGTGATCGAGTGGTCTACGTAGTGCATCTACTGTATCAGTTAGACTCCAATCTTAATTGACTAGAATTGTCTGTTTCCCTGACAAAGGTCGGTAGTTCCCACCGGCTTCCTCCTATAAAAACTTACCGCCCCGATATAGCCATTAGTGCTGAAAGTGGCGTTAAATACCAACAATTAATCCATCAATTGGACAAGAAATAAAATTTAATGAAAATAAAACAAATCACATATCAATTAATTATAAACCTAATACAATGTATAAAAGGTTAAAATGAAATTATCGATGTTAAAGATTAACATATCTCCTATCTGCATGCAGTCTGCTTCAGAACTCAATCGTCTGCCCTGAAACGAAAGTGTGCTAATATTAAAGTGTCAGTTATTTGACTCAGAACATTATATTATGACTATAACCATGACTTTCTCTCTAAATCACACGCAGATTGACCTACAGATGGCTTTAGGATTTTTTTGTGTCTTTTTTATTGCTGTTTTATTTCTTTTTATTCATATTACCAAAATTGACTGCAATATTGCACATGTTATACAGTGATCTGTTTCATTCTATTATATATATAAATGTTACCCGTAGTAAATTCGTCGTAACTTTTGAATAAAAAAAAAAATCCCAAATATTCAAATGAAAGTCAATCATTTGCTATGGGAAACCTAAAAATATCCATCTGATAAAAAATAAAATTGGATTTGCAAAAATTCAAAAGTATACTTGAGAAATCAAGCGTTGAAAAGCTGATTAAAGACTGCAAATTACATCATTTATTATGCTTACAGATATAACATCGGAAACCCAAAAAAATAAGTTTGATAAACAAAAAATAAAAGTTAAATATGTACAATAATGTTAAACATGTTATACAAAGTACATTGCACGTCACATTGAAATCCACTCCGTTGTTTGCGACGAGTTTTTGGCTACATAACGCCTTCTTCCATTTGGCATGTTTGCAAATATGGGTAAGTACATGTTTGGGACAAAAGGTATATCAGACCAAACATTAATCTAGAAGTGCACAATTAGAGGCAGATTTAGGGGGCAGCGGGCCTACCCTCCTTATGGAGCTACATAATTATATGGTTAATGCATAGAATTTTGTCATTGTCTGCTCCTAAAGTTGCCTATTTGGGGCACCCTTTTTCAAACTCCTGGATCTGCATCAGACAATGCTTAACAGCTTTCTGAAAGCTTCAAGAAAATCCAGTCAGTAATTTAGAGTGAGTTACAAGGTTCATATTGCGGGAGGAGAAACGAACAAATGAGTCAAATGTTGAACTGACGGCGAGACGAACAGGCACAATGTCACTATACAGGCCTTTTTTTTTGTTTAGAGGGTTATATAATAAGATACAATGTTTGCCTCATTTGAGTATTGACTTTTTACAGAACTTTGAATTGTTCGCAATACCAAGGATTATCAATCCCAGGAATACATTACCTTAGCTGTATTTGGCGAAACCTTTCGGAATTTTGGGTCCCCCATGCTCTCCAATTTCGTTCTTTATTTAGCCTTTAAACTTTTTTGATTCGAGCGTCAATGATGAGTCTTTTAGACGTAGCATGCGTCTGCCATACAAATATTTAAGCCTGGTATCTTTGATGAGTTGCTTAGACAAAAAAAAACTGTTCTTCAAATCAGTATCATATGAATATTCAAGACATGGCAATTCACCATAGTTAATGTTTGATTTAAGATTTGTGACAAGAACTTTTGTCCTGGCCATGATAACTTACTTGTCTTGAGATCATAGGCTCTACTAAAATATTTTGTTGGGATACAGCCATTTCTATCTCCAGGACTAAGTATCACTCCATTCTCAGACTTGTAAAATTTTATTCCATCTAAAGATTTGAAATAACATAAATTTTGGTAATATTTCAATTATTGTTATTGTTTTAAAGTACAAGTTGATAAAATGAAATCATTCCAAAACGTTTTATTACTTAACTTAAAACTTCTGAAGACTTAAAAAAAATAAAAACAGTTTTAATAACTATTGAGAATTTGTGCTATCCCGCATTCAAAGACTGGCTATCAACTTTTCAATGTCATAATTGTATTAAGAAAGAATGACATCAATATATAGTCAAAGCATTCCAGACAGCGATTTGCTTGAACATAGCTTCAAAGAACTACACGGAAATGAATTCCACCGGCATACAGGATTTCCTACAACTTGTAAAAGGCACGTTTTGCATAAGGTCTTGATTTTATGGATTGTCGAAAGCGAGATCGTTTTTTTTTTTTTTTGGCCCGTTCCTTTTTCTTCAAATTTTATTTATCGTTGATGTGTTTTATATATTCATCTATTTTTAATTTGGAGCAAATATAAGGTTGTACAGAATAATATGTAATTCTCCAAGATAGTGTGAAACCAAATAAATTAAGCATACCTCTCAGAGCTTTCCCGATGTCTATTTCAATGGCCATATCACACTTAACAGGCATACCTAAAATGGGCAAGCATTTTTCAAAAATAATTTAGATTAAGTAAAACGTATTCTCTAGAAATCATGAAAATTTTCTCTTAAATTCCTTGACTAGGACGGTGTACAAGAAAATGAAGATGGAAAGGTATATGAAAAATGAAAATGGGATGGAGACATCAATATAAATTCAAGGCCCTTGAAAACAATATGGAGAGAGAGAGAGAGAGAGAGAGAGCGTGCCTTCAATAATAAAAATGACAAACCCGTATTAGATTTATTTCCCAAGATGAACATTAAATGTGCTCGCGAATTGATAATCCCGTTCCATTACGACCGGAAATTATTCTGTTTCTAAGTTCTTTTACATCTACATTTGATATACATTCACATTTGTGTGATTTTTTTTTATACCAAGGCAGATACAAAACAAAATATACAATTTGACTTTCCATCGTCTCTGACAGCTTGGTGAGGCAATTGATGCCGAATGAAAACACATTATAAGATCATTTCTAACGCGTTTCTACTTGAGTGCATTTAAAGTAAAAGAAAAGGCGGAAGATATCAAGAGGACGAAAAGACAAGTCCGCGAACCTCTACATAAAAAACTAAAGACTGAACAACAAGAATTCCACCAAAAACTGGGGTTGATCTGAGGTACTCCGGAAGGGTAAGCAGATCCTGATCAACAAGTGACACCCGTCAAGTCCACGGAGAGAACCATGCACCGACCTTCGGAAGGAAAACTGACAATCCTAGTCAATAAAGATTGGAGTCGAACGCACCTGCCACGTGCAGGACTCGTACTCACAACCTCAGTTGACAGGCTAGTGATACAGTAGTATGACTTCTTATACCAATTAACCACCAAGGCCTCCTTAAGGGAATAGAGATCACGTACTTACCATAACGTATTCGATGTTCCTACATGATTGCAAATCGGAGTTAAAAGCTTGCACGCATCCGATATTAAAAAAACATATTGAAGTAATTCATGTCTTCGCATGGCTTTACTTAAAAGTCACGCATCTTTCTTCCTTTTAAAGAAACAATTATTCTTGTGAACATTTCTCTCTCGTTTTAAAATACATACCACTCATAGCACCATGTTCAGCGGGAGCGAAATGAATATGATCTCTGTTCATGCGACTTATACCCTGTAAAATAATATGTATATAGAGAAAGTCTAACGATTATGAATAACAAAATTATCCAAAAGTGTAGGCGACATAATATGTGGACTAATTTGTTGCCAATCTAATTGAATTACAGACCCTGTGTCCACACTTCGATTCTAGGAGAAGCGTGTAAACAGAATCTGTATTTCAATATAAAGATTGATTATGTGTCTATCAACCGCCCAACACATACGCACTAAAAAAGGGGTAAAGAAAGGAGAGAAAAAAAAAACGAGAAACTAAGAAATAAATACGACTTTTAAAGTGCCAGTCTTTGAAAGAATCAGGCAATTTTGAAGAACATCAAAACATGGCCGAAAAAAACCCACCGACCTAACCATCCTATTTTGAAGTTACCCTCATCCTGAGTTAGAAATGGTAGGTCTTTCTTTTCTGCGTGTCTGGTAATTCGAGAAATATCTAGTATGTTCCACCGACTATACCCCATAGAAATCTAATGGACTACATATGGGACTACTGCAACAACCATTAATTATTTTGCGGTAAAAATCTAAGTACGTGGTAAATAAATTAAACGGAAACCTTAAAAAAAACAAAAACAAATAAAACAATCCTCCTTCCAAAAAAACAACCCTCGAACACAAACCAAAACCATTAAGATATATACGACTCCAGACAACCAATGACGAGGTCCCGCACTTGGTACAGTCACATGACCATCCTTAACTAGATATTTGAGTAAATCAGTGGAATAAAAACATACATACAATGTATGTACAATAGAAATCAGTACTATATAGATGATACGCGGGTATAGCACATGTGCAAAAATAAGGCTTGCACTTAATATCAGCAGTTGTACTTCGTAGTAGATTTATAGTTACCTGAACAGTATGAAAAGTCACGATATTGTAAAATGAAAAGTAAGTTTGTGTGAAGAGGTTCCCTAGTACCCTGTTATACGTAGTACATCTATAGTAGTAAATGAGCACACATGCATCTAACAATTACAAGTTTACCTTCAGCTGCGTGCTACTATATGTTTTTCTTTTATTTGTCTTTTATTGTGTTTACTATCCTTCCAACATTTTGGACCGTGCACCCTTCTCGTTGTTCAGAGTGCATAGTGCATGGATGTACCCAAATAAACTAATATTCATGCTTGTCTACTTGATTGTAAGTTGTAGTATATATTATAAAACTGATATCTGGCACACGTAAGTACACTTTACTTTATAAGTGTCATTTCCTGAAATTATTTATAAATGACAACAAATCAACAAGCAGGCGAAAGAATGAGGAGAGATGAGATCGTTATTCAATAAAATAACACAAAAGAAGAGTGCATCATGGGATGGCTTGCTGTCTCACACTCCCTCGGACAGTCCAGTACATCTTCTAGTGAGTGAATTTACATACTATTGTATTACAGCAACATTAATTCTCTATCTCAGTAAATGTATATAAAGGTCACTTCAAGTTAATTCAAGCTCATAGTCATCACATAGTATAACGCGACATTTTGCTACAATCGATGGTTTCAACTGGAATTCAATCTACTCGATAATGTGGTGTGAGCTTTTGCTCCCTGATGAAGGCGTCACCGAGACTTTGAGATTAAGAATTGCAATAAAAGCGCAGTTCTTTGACTAGGATTTTGCCAAGTGCACGAAGGGTGTTTGTGTTATAAATTACTACATCACATCGGTACCTTCTTTTCCGTAACTGATAGACGTAGCACTTCACATGCCTCTATTAAATGTCAGAACAAATGGCGTAGATTTCTGCAAAGCAATGGTATCATAGTTGATCAATCTTAACTCCCAAATACTCACAGTTTGCCGAATACTGTCAAAATTTCGTCGCCTGGTTCCATGAAGAACGACCCTTGCTTGACTAGAATGAGTAATTGGCTCTAACTCTGGATCAGAAAGCTGCGAGAAAAAAATTGAAATTTTGGCAATTTTTAGTATTTACAAAAAAAAATCGGGGACGGTTCCACGGAACAATGTGTCACCGCTCGCCTGCGATTACTGCCGTCAGTGTAAAAGCGTAATGTTGACTGCCAAAAACTAAGTCCTTTTATCAGGCCATTTATAAAATAGGGAAGAATAAAAGAAAAATTTGAACTTTTTCATCAGTTACTAGTTCTTGATCATGTCATGAAGAAGCTTCTGTCCATGTTTCAGGACATTCCATGAACATAGTTATTGATGACAAAAATGAACCCCATGCATGCAGACACTGTAAATGTTAACTGCAAGAAAACTAATTCCATCTGTCAGCAAAATACGAAAAACAAAGTTGTTTTCAAAATTTTGCCTGAAATAATTTAATAGCTTCACGACACGTTTCATAAAACTATTTGATGGTTTGATAAACTCATTGATATCTAAACTAGAGGCTCTAAAGAGTCTGTGTCGCTCACCTACATATTCAACACTGACCACTTTTTAGTAATCAAAGAGCTGAAAGTTCTGAGGAAAAATGACGCCATTGTCTCTAATATTGGGATATTTTTGATGCAAGTCTTGATTTTCACATAATTTACCTACTGAATCCCCTTAAGAGACTTTTCAGTTCATGGTAGGTATGCTGACTGACAATAGAATAGAAATGAATTGTTTTCAATGTCTATGACTTTTTTATTTGTTTGTCAAGATATATGTATATATGTGTGAAGTGAATATAAAGAAGAAGATGTGGTCTGATTGCCAATGAGACAACTCTCCACAAGAGACCAAATGACACAGAAATTAACAACTAAAGGTCACCGTAAGGCCTTCAACAATGAGCAAAGCCCATACCGCATAGTCAGCTATAAAAGGCCCCGAAATGACAAATGTAAAACAATTCAAATGAGAAAACTAACGGCCTAATTTACGTACAAAAAAATGAACGAAAAACAAATATGTAACACATCAACAAACGACAACCACTGAATTACAGGCTCCTGACTTGGGACAGACATGCACATACATGCAGAATGTGGTGGGGTTAAACATGTTAGCGGGATCCCAACCCTTCCCTTACCTGGGACAGTGGTGTAACATGACAATATTTATATACTGGTTGTTTCTTTTGTATACAGAAATAGCTCAAGACTACCTGAGCGATCTACAATATTCAAAGTAATATGTGAATTTGTTTCTTGCAATTTCATTATTCTTAGTCAAGGATACATTATCAGACTATCCCCTTCTTTATAGAATTATTTAACAAAATGATGACAAAGAGCCTGCAGTAAGCAAGCTCTTATACCCCACATAGTCCTTATTTAAGAGATAAGTTACAAGTGACCTAGTGACATTGTTATTTCTGTTACTTAAAGGATGATCAAATTCAGTAGATTTAGACAATAGTATTGTTATACTAGTTTTACAATTACAAATATAGTGACACCATTTATACAACAAAATTTCATTGTTGATATGTATATATATATAAACAGAAATCTTTAAATGACAACATAAATTATTGCAGAACTATCTTTTTTTTCAAATGATTTAATGTTTGTATGTCATTTATTTCAAATAATTCTGATAACTAGCTAGCTATCCACCAGAGTCTAAATAATGTGGCTGTTGGCAGTTATAAGTCACTTTACATCATTATAGCCTCATATTTTTTAAGGACCTATCTAGACCTTTTTCTTAGGCAAGGTGTTTTATATCACTCTGAAAGCAATACAATCCAGTGTTCTCCCCAGGATTTTTTATAGCGCTGTGGTATTAGTGCCCGATTTAGGATTGATTCACCTTAAGTTTCATTTTGTGACTTGATGCTACATTTATTTATAACTACCATGTTAGTTTTATTTTATTGAATAGACAAAGACCTGGATTTTTTATACATCTGCCATGTGCATTAACTGAAATGCAAACAAGTGACATTTCAAATATTAGTTAAACTTTAAAAATTAAAATGCCTAGATAACTTAAATAATTTGATTGTATTACCACCCGTCCCCCAATGTAGCACAGTAGGTATATCTTTTTTTCTCACTTTCAGTTGTTTGACTTATAAACTAGTTATATATCCTTTACAACTTCATAATTTACTTATACACATATTTAAGAAGGTTTACAATGACAAAATTGGAATTTCTTCATTAATTTTCATTTACATTTATCAAATTACAATTTTGCAATTAAAAATGGTATATCCTTAAATATCAAAGGAAGAAATGGAATACTCTTTCCATAAGTACTGAAATGTTATTAAAGGCATGTTTAAAATAGGCTAACACATTTGATCATATTCCAAGATAAATATGAACAGGCGATTATTTCAACTAGGAATTATTTTCAATTATGGAATTTGCATAATTTCTTGTGCTTGAAATTTTTAATAAATTCCATGTTTATTCTGTATTTTAATGTTCTGTGCAGTGCTGCGAAAAGTGGATGGCAAATCTCAATACTTTTTATTTATTTTCAAGAAATTTTCGTATCCGATTTAAAAAAAAGTAAAATATGGGCTTGTAATAAACACCTGGACAACGGGAATGCTTTTCTCAAAACAATACAGGTTCAATAGTTTAGTTGTTAACTCGAAAAAGTAATGAAATAATCGTAATGTTTCAAAAATGGACTAGACCACGTTGTCAGAGAAAGGGTGAAACTTTCCTTAAATACTTTTGATATGATTCATTAAGCACTGCCTACTCCTTTCATAAAGATTCTGCATCTTATAATTCTTTTTAAAGTGAAGAAATCCAGAAAGAAATAAAGTCTTTTTGACAGAAAAACTTCTACAATTATCGCCATTGTATTCTTTAATGGAACTGGCCCCTGCGATATTTGACCTATATTATGTCTGCAGCAGTAACTTACAAATACATACGCACCGCGTGGATATAACCGTATTACTAATTTTCGCCGATGATTCTTAAAAACTCCTTAAATCTTGATAAAGACCATTATCTTTCGTATGATTTCAAGATGATTCCGATTATTATTTTTTGAATGATTTCAAAGTTCAGCTGACAAGAAAGGTAAACATTCTTTCAAAAACTATTTTCTAGCGATAGCGATTTGTTATCATTGGTATGTAAAAAGTCCAAAACCATAACAATACGGATCTATTTATATTCTGATTTTTTTTACGGATGGAAAGTCATGCACAAAAAAGCGAAAGCTTATATAAATATGAAAAATATACCAACGGGATAGCTCAAAATACCATTTAATAACAATAAACATATTGACAGGTTAAGAATGAAATTCTGTACAGGACATAGTTATGTAAAATACGGAACCGAGTTCGGAAGGCGGCTTGGAAGCGACCGGAAGCGATAAAATGAAATCTGGTCAACGGTATAGTAAAATTGACGCTTTGACAGCGTCATTTTCCAAAAATCATCATGCATTGTAGGGGAATACCTCTATTAAGAACTAACTGACTATTTCAGTCACGTTGATGTATTTATAGATCTTATCATTTTAAATTTTTTTAAATTCTATCCATCTACTATTGTTTTCAAGATAATAGTCAAAAATGCAAAAATTGGGGAAAATAGTCATACAAGGACAATAACTAAGGAATCGACTAGTTGACTTGACTTATCAGTAGATCTTGTCTTGTCGGTCATTTTTGTTATTAAAGTTTCTGTCTATCTTTTATAAATTTCGAGATAATAGGCAAAAATGAAAGGGAAAAAATGGCAAAATTCGTCGAATAAGGGCAGAATCTCCTGTAAGAAGTCATCTGACAGTTTTGATGCCGATTGTCATTAGAAATATCATTCTGAACATTTTTTTCCCTGTCAGATTTTCTCGATCTATTGCGGTATTTAAAATAATAGACAATTGCATTTACCTCTATGTTCTATTCTTAGCCATGTCTGCCATGTAATGGGAAAAGCTCACACGTGCCCTTCGGGCCAGGTAAGATAAATTGTAACCCAGTCTGTATCTAAATGTTAACTCCAGAACAATCGAAGTTCATTTATCAGTAAGAGAAAAACAGAATCATATAAAAATCTGCATTTTTCTACAGATAATATCACTTGATCATGCATTCAAAGTACGGAAAAAATGAAAAAAAAATATTTAAAAAATTTTGCTCTGGATACCACAGGCGCTTGGGTATATGATACAAATATTTTTTGGGGATTTTTTTGTTGTTGATTAAAATATTCAATTTATATATTTATACTACATATCTATCACTACTACGCATGTCTCACCTAGTTTCGAGTGATTTTACCAACTCTTGAGACAACCCCCATTTTTACTATCCACACTAAGAAACAAATGTCTTAGTGTGGATAGTAAAAATGGGAGTTGTCTCAAGAGTTGGTAAAATCACTCGAAACTAAGTGAGACATGCGCAGTAGTGATAGATATGAAGTATGAATATAGAAAATTGAATATTTTAATAAACAACAAAAAAAATCCAAAAAAAAATATTTGTATCATATACCCAAGCGCCTGGACTGGATACTGTCAAGAAAAAGCTTCTGTTGCAAGTTTCGTAAGACTCCAAAGAGATTTGACTAAGTAATTGGTGTTGAAATAAACTGTTTTCACAGAGATATGTCTCGCCTTTTTGTTATTTTGATTATGTAAATGTTGAAATTAAAATAGCAATACTTTAACATGTAAGTTATGCAAATATTCAAAGATAATGAACCATGACTGAAGGTACATGGCTAAACAATCTCCATGGAAATGAGATGTGCCAATGCTAATACAACTGCATACAAAATACCATTGACTTATTATAAGTTGTTCCCTTTAAACAAACCTAAACACAAATATTAACTTGTAAACTTGTAAACTATGTAAAAGTTTCAAAGTCAATGCAATGAACCATGATGTCAGAGGGGGTGGGGCTATATAATCCTCATGGAAACAATACTTGCAAATGCCATTAAATTTGCATAATAAATATCATTGACTTAACATTAGCAGTTTCATTATAACTGATCTAATCACAAACTATTACATTGTTGACGCCGCCGCCGACGCCGGAAACAGCATACCTATGTCTCGCTTTTTGATTCCGTCAAGGCGAGACAAAAAACCTCACTGAACCTAAATTGACGATGCCGACTACGCAATGCAGAATCGATATGTCTCGCTTCCGCGACTTTTGTCGCAAAAAATAGGATCTGAGGATGATATTCTTAACCAAAACCATAATTCTATAGGAAGTAAAACAATTGATTTTCTTTCACATAAAGAGAATAATACAGTATTTGTTACGAACGTTTTTATAAGAACATGCAACATTTTCAATAGTGTATTAAAATTGTGATCCTAGAAAATTGTAGCACTGAATAACATTGTGTTTTGTTGCTGTCTTATTAACGTATATAACCCACTTCTCCGTTAAATTTTGTCTTTAAAATACCATGCACAATTGAAGGCATATAAAGTATTGTAAAATGCTCTCTCTGAAAATCAAAAAATATCTCCAACAGATAAAAGCTTGCCCGAATACTATGTCCTTGTGTTGCTCTGACTTGAAGTTGTCCTCCGTTTGTTCGTTTGGCAAACCTCCCTTTATTATCCCTATCTACTATTCTTTCTATGTCATCCTCGTCAAAACCATTGAAGTATGAGAGTTCAAGTATGTCATCAACATTTGCATATCCTTCTGCAATGAAATTAATTAAACGAAAAATACAGAACCAGGCCCGATAATCCCATTCATGCAAATGATGCACAATATATAGTATTTGCAATTGACAATTATTTGTAATATTTCAAAAGCACAATGCACATTATCACCTTGTATGTAAGAATGTTTGATTTGTCTTCAAATAATCTTATTGGATCTACCGCTGATCTGTTCTCTCTACGGCGGTGGTGGTTTAGGACACAAGTGCGAGACGAGATTTAAAAAAAATATATATGTATATACTGAAAATTGAAAATTATTCATATATATATACATGTATATATATATTTAAATCGTCTCGCACCTGTGGTTATGTGATGTGTTTGCTATTTCCAATGTAATGCATGCTCTAGAGTGTCGCATTTCTCTCAGTTTCAGCACATTTTATTTTCAAAATACACGATGTCGTGAACAAGGTTGCGAATGTAGTCAGAGGTTTCGGACTTGAATAGGGCTTAATTTCTTGATCAAACAGTATCGCAAACATCCATTCTTCAAGAATTAAACAGGGCCATTTTTTTTAGTAAAACAAATGCATCTTTTCTTATTAGATTGGCATCTTTTGAATCTATAATAAGCTACACAAACATTTTGCTGTTGTTCATAGTCCCATCACCAGTAACGTTATCGTAAAGGTAAGGGAATATAAGTACAAACAAAGTATATTCTAATAAAACTTAATGTCCAGTGGCGTAGCACCAGTGTAGCATTAGTTGTAAATATAAAAATAAGAATGTGGTATGATTGCCAATGAGACAACTCTCCACAAGAGACCAAATGACACAGAAATTAACAACTATAGGTCACCATACGACCTTCAACAATGAGCAAAACCCTTACTGCATAGTCAGCTATAAATAAAAGGCCCCGAAATGAAAATGTAAAACAAGTCAAACCAGAAAACTAACGGCCTAATTTATGTACAAATTAATGAACGAAAAACAAATATATTATACACAGTAACAAACGACAACCACGGAATTACAGCATGTGCTTACAAATAATTTTATAAAACTTTTTTTTTTCAATAAGAATTTTACTATAATCGTTCAGCTTCTTGGGGTGGGCACGCCCCTCAGACCCCTTGCTTTAATTGGTATGTGTATTGATGGTGTACACAATTTTTTCTCTCATAACGTTTTCTTACCCGGCTGACCTATATATGGTTGATTATATAGGGAATTACTGAGGCATGATTGGAGCCTGCCCCTCTTAGGTATTCAATGCCCCCCTTTTTATGAAAATTTCTGGATCCGCCACTGCTGGATCCGTATCTGGTATTTTTATTTTGTACATGTATCTGTTTTGCTGGATGTTTTGAAAACTGCATTTTTTTTTTTAACTTAAACACACACAAGCTTTGCAATGTTTAGAAGCTTAACTTATGCATGTTATGTACAAGGTTTAAAAAAAACGCCGATCAGAACCTTGGCATCAGCTGACAGATATACAGCTAACAAAGATAAATAATATTCAAGGAGGTAGTTAAATTCAAATTCAAATATTTTATTATACCAATCATGGTCCCACAAGGGGCATTTGCAATTAACAATTATAATTAGATATGACAATATAAGCGACAAACATGAGTCATGATCAGTCATTGTACAGCATATAATCATAATGATAATGTGACAGCTAGACATAAGACATAAGACATAAAGCTTTATTTAGAGTCGGTATGTGCAAATACAAGTATAAACATAAGCCCTGAAGAGCTTTTAAAACCGACAGAGCAACAAATAAAACAAAACATACATATCAAGTCATGCACATATAAATTAAACATATAAAGCAAGAGCTCATATCAGTATATAAACATGCAGCACAAAAGTTCTTAAAAGCATCTTACAAGTTAAACACACACTGAAACATGCACTTGTGAGATAAAAGCACAAAAGCAAAAATAAAATGGTTTGCACATCAGCTATTACAATTGACATGTATATCTTGAATATTTGTTTTCCTTTTATTATTTCAATGTCAGCAATGCACCTCGTGTTTACATGTAGTAATCGACTCTTGAAAGGATAAAAAAAAAGCTACTAAATGCTGTCCTAAGGGAGATAACCAAAACGACAAACGTTGCTAGGAATTTAACTGTTCTTCAAATAAAATGACTATAACTCACCCTTCGTGAGGTGCAACCCTCTGGCATCATGTCTTAACAATTTGACGAGAGCTTTAGACAACTGCACATTAGCCATACCGTAAGATCTAATCACATTGTGTTCGTGAATTATCTCTAGTTTCGTTTTTCCAAAGAAATACTCTCACTAAAATCGAATGAAAATTAACGTATAATATCTCCAAGATTAAAATTTTCCAAACTTGATATTATTACGAAAAGAAACCGAAATTAGGTAGAACAGCGAAACGGTTTGGGCAATGTCCCTTTGAATTGGTAGTTAACGGAAAATGACACTTCAAACAAAACGAAAATGAAAGTAAAACTGAAAACGAGTCTTAAGACATTTTACTCATCTTTCGGTGACGTCACACTTTGTTGACACATTCGCCATTTTCGCAAATCTAGACAGCATCACGGATTTTCTTAAAATATAATAGGTTTAAGGCAGATTCTACTTTCTGAAATAATCAATATCATACAGTAAGTGGTAAGAATCATTCAATCAGCTCTAATTTGGAACATTCACGCACATCTTCATATTTTCATCATCATGTCTCTGCAACTGAAGCTGCAAGGATTTTTTTTACTGGGACAAACCCCAATTCTTTACCCTGTGGAGATGAATTGCAGATCCATCCCATGTAGAACTTGCTTATTCCTTTTTAGTAACTTCCTTGGGTCATGTCGAAACAATGATTTGTTTCTCCCATTGAAACGACTTCAAAGACAATGAATTTGAGTAGGAGTTATTCCCCTTGGCCCCCAATGCTCATTTTCGTGAGACATTCAGACAACCGGTGTATTTTCTTATTTGACAAACGAAATTAAAAGGATCCATGTCAACTCGTATGTTACCAACTTGTACCCTTTTTTTACCAACTCCTACAACTTCCAACTTTGTTTAATTCATGTCCTGGCTTTATGTATGATATATTATTATATTAAAAAGATGGTATTAAGGTCCAACCAAAATTCAGTAAAAATATGCATTTTTCCAGCTGAAGATTATGTTCTCATTAACCAACAAATAAACGCACTAATGAATTCTTTTGTTCACATTCCAAGACATTTAAACTGCATTCAAAACAAAGACTTGTTTGACAAAAAAAGTATTAAAAATTATATCACTGGATCAATCATAAACATGATAAAGTACAAAATAACAAATAAATTTACAATATTACCTATTGAATGTTGAGTACAAGTTAGTCAAAGGTATGAGTTGTTGTGTACCCAATTAAAACATGTGGTACAAGAAGTCTGATTATAAGAGAGACTTCTTCTACTGCTGAGTAACCACCCTCATCAGGTTGACTTATAAGAAAACTTTCAGTATCTACATGTATAGCCCACTTTAATTTGATGCTTGGTTTTGACTTGTTGCTCTTTATTTGTTTTAATAAAGATTTTTCAGAAAACAAATTTTTCTAAACTCTAGTGGTTAGTATACATGTATATATACATGTATATCAATAATCACAAATTAAATTTAGTTGATTATGAAGGAATTTGTGCAAGTTGACATTCTGAGATTACATTTTTTTTAGACATCACTAACAGTGATGCAGCTAATTGTCGCACCTAGGGGGCAGAAATTTAGAGGGGCCACCAAATGACGTCTTTGTGTCAGACCCAATGACCGGAAATTTTTTTTTGGGGGGGGGCTTTCAAAATTTAAATATATGTTGGTCCTGGTTACCTTGGCTTCCAAATCAATTATGTAGTTGAAAAACATTGAAAACTAAAAGTTCTAATGACACATTTATTGCCGGTAATAGGTAAACATACTGATGTAAACAGATTTCGATCTTCTCTGCGTTTATCCATTTCACGTAAGTCATGTTGATCATAATTATTTTTGTATTTCTCCAGATTTATCATTACACATAGCAATGAATGAAAACGAAAGTAAATTTCTGGTAACAATATTGAATAGAAGCATGTTTTTAGCTTTTTTTTGATAGCTGAGTGATAATTCTGATGATGACAAGACTCAGCAAGTGTTAACAAGACGTTTCCTTTGGACACATTGTTCATGCAATGGTGCAAAGATACGTGACTAACGAGAAAATATTGTTAGTACGACAAACACTGGTTTAGTCTCCATATGACAAATCAGTGGTGCATGAATTAAAACAGTTGGAACAATAGATGGCCAAATCAATTATGTAGTTGAAAAGCATTGAAAACCAGAAGTTCTATTAAGGGACAACTAATTATGACCAGATTTATGTGAATTAAATTAAACAAAAAACACGTATTATTTTAGTTTTAGAGTATTTTTTTCATTTTAGTTAATGTGTGAACACACATATTCGTTTTGACGTAAATGTAGCTTGCACTGTCTTTGTTTTTGATCTAATTGTTCTTATGCCAATTAATAAATAAGACAACTATCCATAAAGTCAATGGATAGTTGTCTTATTGGCAAGTGTAGTACAACATTCTCATTTATTTATTTGATGTTTCAGGATAATTTAAATTGAATGTGGTCTCAGTCATTAAACCACCCCATGGTCATATCCTTATTTAGCCTGGTTGTTCTAATCACGGTTTTAAGGCGTATCTTAATCCAACTGGGAAATAGTTATTATTTTCAAAAAAAGTAGGTACATGTATGGCAAACAGTTGATAAGACTGGCAAAACTGTCTTACATGCAGGGGCCAATGTCTGACAGGAAAAAAAGATATCTGCATCTCTGCAGACCTTTATGAAATGTTTTGAAAACTGGAAAATATTATACATGTTATAAGCTTCTTCAAGATTAAGAAATAGCAGCACCTGAAGAAAAAAGTTTCATTTATAATTTTATTTTAGTATTTTACATATACATGTACAAAAAAAATGTACATGGACTTGGTTTTTGTCAATCAACTTTACACTTTTACACTACCAGCAACAATCTCAGGCATGACACAGGGTTCCATGGAAATCCTTTTTGATTTTTTTTTGTAACTTCTGAGTTTAAGGTACATTTGTAAGAACTCCAAATAGCAAAAAGGTACAGTGCAACAAATAGGAAGGGCTGGCACTGTGTCTACTGAAAATTGCATAACTAGTACTGGATTGAATTGTTTATGAATTATTTAGTAAAAAAACATTCCAGAGACAGTTTGAACAATTTAGATGATTTTAAGTTAAAAAAAAAAACATTCCAGAGGTCACATTGACACTACGTTATGTTAATAAATTTAACCTTGTATTGACAAATGATTTTTCAAAATAGATGAACATGTACAAATGTAACATGTTCAATGAAATAAATATATTAAGAGATGTGGTCTCCCTATCAGTAGACTGGTATTTTAGAGGGATATTTCCAAATTTACATAATTAATGAGAGGAAATACTTCTCCCACTAACATCTGGATACTTAAAACTTACAATTTTAGATGGGTGTACTGGAAGATCTTCAGTATGTCAGTAATTTTTGGTTTAATAAGGTATAAAAAGGATCAATTGCTATTTTAAGGATAAACTTTCAAATCTCTAGATCTGTAAAATTTATTTAATTATAGTAGATATGATATAAAAATTATCTCAGTGATTCAACTGGAGTTCTGGAGCTTCAGGTCAATTTTGATTTTAAGCTCTCTGGGCCAGTGTGAGCTATTGCAATCACTTTTGCATCAGTATAAACTAAATACAAAATACGCAACCTTAGACTGAACGGTAAGTTTGACAACAACTCTGTAAAAGTGAATATGGCCATGGTGTACCACAGTACCAAGATGTCCCCTTCACAACGATTTTTTAACGCTCTACCATGCTAAATAAAAATAGAATTTAAATGTATTTTTTCTTCAATAATCGGATAAAAAGAATGATTTTATAGGGTTTAACTATTTGATTTGCAATTTTAACTAGTAGAACATATTACAAGCCGTTTTTAAAATATTCACAATGTCCACTGCATAAAGATATTTGTCCCCTATGAAATGATTTGTGTCCATTATGCAACGGCTTTTGTCCACTTTGCAATGAAATGTTGTGTAGTGGACCGTTGTGCAGTGGATGTATTTGCATGTTAGCAGTCTTTGTTGTTACACACGGTTTCTCAGATGCATGTTTTTATGATTATTTTCTTAGATAATACATTTTACATGTATTTCATAAACTCCACGTTTTTATACGACCGCAAAAAATTTTTGCGGTCGTATATTGGTATGACGTCGTCGTCGTCTGGCGTCGTCCGAAGACACATTGGTTTTCGCACTCTAACTTTAGTTTAAGTGAATGGATCTCTATGAAATTTTACCATAAGGTTCAATACCACAAAAGGAAGGTTGGGATTGATTTTGGGGGTTATGGTACCAAAAGTTAAGGAATTAGGGGCCAAAAATAAGCATTTTTATACGACCGCAAAAAAATTTTGTGGTCGTATATTGGTATGACGTCGGCGTCGTCGTCGTCGTCGTCGTCCGGCGTCGTCGTCGTCGTCGTCCGGCGTCGTCGTCCGAATACATACTGGTTTTCGCACTCTAACTTTAGTTTAAGTGAATGGATCTTTTTGAAATTTGACCATAAGGTTAAATACCACAAAAGGAAGGTTGGGATTGATTTTGGGGGTTATGGTACCAACAGTTAAGGAATTAGGGGCCAAAAAGGGGCCAAAAATAAGCATTTTCTAGTTTCCAGACAATAACTGTGGAACGGTGTATGGATCTCTCTGAAATTATACTATAAGTTTCCATACCACAAAGGGATGGTTAGAATTTGCTTTGGGGGGTTATGGCTCAAACCGTTTAGGAATTAGGGGCAAAAAAGGGGGAAAAACAAGGTTGTCCTGGTTAATGGACAAATACTTTTGTACAAAACATAATTTAAAGCAGTGTAAGGGAGATAAATCAAATACATCATTGAGATTATCTCCCTTACACTGCTTTTAAATTATGTATAAACATGATAAAGTAATGGTTAATGAACAATAAAGATAATTTAAAACAGTGTAAGGGAGGTAATCAAAATACAACGTTTTGGTTACTTCCCTTACACTGCTTTTAAATTATGTTTAAAGAAATGCATATCTATAAAGGAAGACCAGTAAAAATATCTGCAAATGTTGCATCTTTTTTTTTTACAAAAAAATCCATATGAAAGATTTGACAGTATATTTTTAATTCTATTATAAAATAGATTAAGTTAGCACTATGGTAAATTTAATTTGGTAATTATGGTTGCCAACTCCATTGGAAATTTGAATTGAGATTATGACCATATCTGAGGGAAAGAATTTTTTTGGGGAAAAAAGGGGGGGGGGATAAAAAGAAATTGTGGGGGGTCAATTTTTTCTCAT